TTTATACGATTTGTGGTACAAGGGTATGTATATTCAGTTTGAGCGAATGTATGGAAAACCCCAAGGGACTTGGAATAGATCCAGCTTTTATTATACTGAATCGAATTAACCTTGTCCGTCCGGAGGTCCGTCTTCTTTTCTTCTTTGCAACGTGTAGCCATCTAGGCTAAAATATACATACATGACATGCACGCGGTCACTTTTTCAAGTACTTCCGATACAAGGCCTTATTTTGCCGTTATATGAACAACTTTATTAAACATAGCGGTGTAGGGTATTTAATGGTGCAACGTGACTCAGCATTGTGCTTTCATTTGGTTTTTATTTCGTTTCATTTCACTTTATTCGATTACAGTTAATTACAAAACCAGTAATTATAATTAATTAACTTTACCAATAATTATCACACTTATAAATGACTCTAATGTAACGAAATGAGACTTCAAGATGGAGTAAAAATCAATTAAGTCAATCTTTTGATCTTAACTATAATTCAAATCACATATTTGTATGATTTGGTGTAACTTTTTAGATAATAATACTTAGGTTAGGTTGGAAAGCTGGCAAGCTGAAAAGTATGTTCGTGCGTACGTTAAGAACTATTCATCAAAATTTCAGTTATTTAGTATGTGTAGAAGCGGGCAAAAGTCGTATTTCGGACTGACATTTACTACGTATGCACGCACGTCTACACAAACCAAAAATAATGGTGCGGGGGGGCTGTATAAGAGGACTCAGTACTTTCATTTAAGTCGTTGAAATTCTGGGAAGCTGAAACGAAGTAAAGTAAGCTTATCAGGTTAAGTGATTATGAACTTTCAAAACTGTTATTAACGACGAAAAATTCGCTCAAATTCGTCAAATGGCTGAGGACGAACCTCCACTCAAGGCTCAAAAGATAATAGCGGCTACGAACATACTGTTAAGAATGACAAGACAAGATCATTGCATGAGGAAGCTGAGAGCACCTTGGGAGCATCGTTTACTTACGCAAACACCGAGACACAAGCCGTGAGTTATAGTGCAAAAATTACATGAATTGAAGTTCGATTTTCGAAAGTTTTAAGCGATTTTTAAACGACTTTCGGATTTTTAAGACTTAATTTTAGCTCTACTCTCATAATTGTTGACGAGCTCATGAGCCCAATTTGCTAATATTGAAGCTTAACTTGGTGAAAACTTTCAAAATTGTAATCGTGGTTTTAAGAAAGTAGACGAATAAACGAGCGACCGGGAGATGAGTAGGCAGACGGACGGACAAAGATAATTATAGTCATAAAGTTGTGTTACGGTGTCTCTGATCCGTCTATAATTGATTGCAATTCATTAAAAAAATCGTTTACACTTATTAACCTAATGGGTGTTTGAAATTCGCTTTAAAGTGATGAATACGAATTTCGTACCTTGGTTTTTCCCCTTTTTTTTTTTTTTTAATTCTAATACATAAATACAGTATATAAACAATTTTCGTTTGAAGCATCTTACAATGTGTAACTTACGTCAAATTGTTTATCTTTTCTAAGTTAATAACATTAATAGCGCGCTTGTGTGTGTGTGTGTCTGATTAAATTATATTTTTTTTGTAATATAAATCTTTTAAGTCTTAATTATGCATAAGCCACTGAATATGCAATGAAAGGAAAACACGAACAAAAAGCAATATAAACACAAACAATATAAACACAAACGTATGCATACACATGTACGCACACGTTTACGGGATAGAGTTTATAAATCATGCGGTCGGTAATGCAGTTAAGCCGTGACAAATCACTTATTGAATGATATATGACGAACAATTTACGTACAAAAAGTATTAAATAATTTATTATTGTTGTTGTTGTTTTTTTTTTTTTTTTTTCTTCTTTTTTTAATCTTGTAATAGCTATGTGTATATAGGTAGGCATTATGTTTGCTTGTTTGCTGCATGCTTGACTCTTGACGTTCTTGGCAATGTCACAGTGTAGTATGTGACGTTGTGACCAAATGATCGGCTCTAATCGAGGAAGTCTTGCTGGGCAATATAAAGCAAATAAAATATTTAGCTTTTATTTTGCCTTTTTTTTTTTGTTGTTGTTTTCTAACCTATAGGAGGAGATTGTGGAACAGCAGGGTTTCCTATTAGATGCACTCTGATGAAAACCAAGCCTTTTATGATTCTTTTGTAAAAGTTTGCGTTTAGAATAAATATTTTTTAATGGACTGATTTAAAATGTTTAACTTTGACCTACATATTATGGAGCTTTGCTTTTTTCAAAGCAAGGTTTCTCTTTTTTCAATTTTTCCCTTTTTTTTTTTTTTTTTTTTTTTTTTTTTTTTGCTATGGCTTTAGCTAAATCATAAACATCCTCTCCGCGTTATTATTAATCCAAAGCATGAATGGATTAATTAAAATTTCATTTCATTTCACCTATTCTATCTGTCTGTCTCTATGCCAGAGCATGCAGCATATGTATGCGCAAAAAAAAAAAAAACAAAAGTCCGTGCGCTCTGCATTTACACAACGAATCTAATTAAAATTGTCTCCATAATTGAATTTTTACTCATTTTTTGTGGCAAAAAAGAAAAAAAACCAAAAAAAAAAAAACTAATCGTCGACTAATTAAGGAAATATTTACGCTAAACGCCACTATAATAAATCACATGGAAAAAAAAAAAACGAAAAATGTAATTTTAAATAATTTATCTTTTATGTTATTTATTTGCAATATACTTCCTCTCCCCTGTCCATTACACGAATCGCGCTTATTTTAGTACACAATTATCTAAAAACGTAGATGTGATTATCAATTAGTTTTGTCTATATATTTTTATATGAACTAAGGCGTTATTCGTGCGACAAGTTTTTTTTTTTTTTTTATTTGCAATTTTCCCTTTTTCGATTTACGTCAAATCTTACGTGCACAAATATTTCAATTTTATTTCGAGATCCCATGTCTCGTACTACTTAATTCAATTATGATGCTTAAGTGTTTTCATAATTGCGGTGCACATTCATTGATTAAAACATGTAGATATGCACGTACGTACGTGTCGTACATATCGAAGCAAGAAGTTAGAAAAACATATATATATATACATATATATATATATAGTTGGGTTGCTTCGTTGACACCCATCAGTTTCTATAGCTAATCATTAATAAATTTATGATATCTCCCAAAATGGGTACTCGGACATTTGCTTAGCTCTGGTTAACTAACAAAGCATTTCTTATAATCTTCCCAAGTCCTCCTCTTCACTTTCTTTCTTGCATTTTGTGGATGCGCAGCAATTATGCGCATTTGCAGTCGAGTAGGTAAGTATCGTGATTATCAAGTCAACGTTCGCGGGTTCAAATTTCAAATGCCGTAGGGTTTACTTTGCATGTAGCTATAATAGTTAGTGGTCAGTCGATAAAGGCAAACACCCATGTATCTTTATATTTCTCTTTCCTCACTTTTATTTAAGTTTTGGCAAAACAAAGAAAAGAAGAAAATCAGCTTAGGGAGACGTAACCACTGACTTTACTCGAGTAGTTTGATCAAAAACATTTTTACAGACCTCACTAGGCGAACAATCGCCCTTTCTCTTAAACAACAATGCTACTAATCTTTTTTAGAGCCATATTCAATAAAGCGATTATTTCTCTCAAGTTTAAGAAAACGTTCGAAGTGCAAAAAAGAAGCAGTGAAGTGCTTGGGTTTTTCTGAGTGGTAAAAAAAATAATTAAATTCAGACGATATTAGCTCCATTTAGAACGTCTGCAACCGACCCGAATTCGAATGCAATATGCCATTGTAAGCGGTGATTGCAAGATGGCGCTCAACCGCGTGCAGCAAAAATGTTCTGTACTCATGGGTAACGAAACCGTGTCTCTGATTGTCGGCATAACGTGGCCTGCACATACGTGTATGTATATAGGTAACTGCAGTGCAAGTGTTTTGCATGAATAATAATATAGGCGTCTTGCCTTCCAATCCAGTTCTTGGAAGGGATTATCCAGTTTTCTAAGTTGTCCCGTATATCGCACGATGCACTGTCGCAAATGCTCGTTCTTTAATCTGAGTGCACGAATATATACACTTTGAATATATACACTTGGTACTATGCACACATAATCACAAACTTAAAATATCCTTAGCAAAAGTGCTGCAGGTTATAATTGTGGTGACATCTTTTACGCTCGCCTTCAAAATGCTATGGTCTGCATTACTATGCCCAAAACATATTTTAATTTCCAAACAAAATATATAAGATTTTCAATAAGAAGGTGAGAAAAGAGAGACACTATTGAGATTCTCTTTAGTAAAGTTAATAGCGACATCAACATTAGCTATCTTGGGATGCCTACATACTACTTAACCAATTACCCATAAAAATAAAGTTTGATATTTTTTCTTATCACTGTCTTTACCAAATGGGTAAGCCTACGAGGGCCACCTGCCCGCCACCATTATCAGTGTATATATACATAACAGATCCCTCCGTTTATGATCCACTCACAGTTATTAAGTTCCCTTTTGCCTTAATTATGGCCCCAAAATTGCAAGAGAACACAAGTAAAGGCTATAGTGAGCTACTGACCACCCTACACCATCCTTCATATAAAGGCTTTTTCAAAATAACGCATGATGTGGGAAGTGGTTGAAAAAGTGGTCCATTCCGAAACACTTTCAATAGCATTCGTCCACCAAATGTTATTAAAATATTTCAAAAATAGCGACTTAACAATTAAACGCAAGTAAACAAGACGGACGGACGGACGGACGGACGGACATGCGGATAGACCGATCGATTTGACCGATCGATTCAGAATCATTTTCTATAATAAAAATTGAGTTCATCTCAAGCTCTACTGAGTGTTACGCGCATCCGCCGACAAACATAACATATCCTTGTATTGCAAGCGGTGCAGGGTATAAAAAGAATTTAAATTTAAAAATATTACTCTTTATTAACTTCGCTTTGTAAAACCTGCATAATATAACTAATAAAAATTACATTTTATATAATTTCAGATTAATATACAACGGAATCAATAAAATCATCAGTACGTTGTTATCGTTGATGAACTAGCGAAACGAAGATAAGAAACGTAATAGATAGATAGTGGGGAAGAAACATCTACAAGATATAAATTGTTAAACAAAGCCATTATATAAATAACAACACATGAATCCCAAAGAAAAGATTGGAAAGTTTTTATGATTTAATTAAATGATCGTAGAAAAAAAAAAGATCTGAACAAACATTTCAAATAACTGCACTAACAGTTCAAACAAAAATTTAATCTGAAGATCTCGTGTTTTTCATTAAAAAATTTTTTTTGCAATTGATCCTAGAATATGCATCGCCATAAATCATGGGATTAGAATCGTTTGATTATTTACGAAAATGACTTGGATTACATCGACAGTTATCAGCTAATAGAAGCTATTAGACGAATTTGAAGGAGGGCTCTCAGTAAAGAAAAGAATACCTGCCCACGTATGAGACAGTATTTAACGATAGGAGACGACTTGTGTTCACGTGGAAATCATAAAAAAATGCTTCTCGATAACACAGGCCTAAGGTGAAAGAATACGGGCTAATTCCGCATTGGAAAAACCCTATTTCCTAAAGAGATAACCAACACTTAAAGGGTCTTTATCAACCGATCAGATATAGAAAAATAACGATTTCAACTTTTAAAGAAAATCGAGCATTATGATGCTTACTAGTGATGCGAATCAAGACACTTCAGTCACAACGCCATGTTTAGCCAGCTGTCAGACAATATCGATATATCCTGCTGTCGCCGCCACCAATGCAGCTGCCATCACCGCCAAAGAACCAATCAAAAAGCCACAACGAAACTTACACGACTTGCTACTCGAAATTTTCGATGTATTACTTTCATGCCTATTGATAGCACCTTGCGTTATAGCGTATTGGCGTGGCACTTGGGAATTAGTTGGAGTTCTACTTTTTCCAAAGAATGCACCCCTTTCAGCTCTCTGCTCATTCCTGATCGGTGGTATTGGTCATTTATCATTTACACTCTTTCAAAGACTGCTCACAGATAACATACATCCCGACAAACATCGTTTAACATTTTATATCATTTCTCGCTGCTATACGTACGCATTTGGCATAGTCTGCGTGAATATGTGGCGAGGGACATGGGTGTTGTGCGATTGGTTAACAAGTGCAGATTCATTAATTATAATTTGTGTGGTAACATTTGTGGCCTTATTATTTTTATTTGCTACGCGAACAGTACGAAATTTAGGTGCTGCCCCTTATTCGATTATAATGGATCATAAAAGCGATTACTTTCAAGTGGAGACAATGTTTCGAATACCGGTAAGTATTGCCCAATAATGCAAGGAAAACATCTCATGGTGTGTCAATGGGAAACTTTCAAACCATATATACATATATAAAAATTACCTTAACATCTCTTTACTTCACTTAAGATAACGTCATTAAAGTCAATATACTTGTAGCCGCCAAGATATTGGAATACTTTCCTTTGTTCCAGTACAATTCTATTTATAGGCATCTTTATGAATCTTCTTAATCCTTTAGCCAATCTAACGCGCTTTGTTTTGCTTGTTAGGGTTTAAGGATCGCTATAGGTCAGCGCAACAATTATAAAAAAGATTAGCTTCAGCACAGAGGCTTCCCACTACTTTATCGGGTAAGCAGGTGACACAATTAAAAAATCGCCTATATATTGAAACCTAGGCGTTCTGTCGGTTTGACGTTCATATAAGGTGGCTTCACACAGATTATTTATAACAACCATAACTCTATGCTCCAAAAATGAGGAGATTTTACAAAATTTCAAATGCAGATGCAAATTCATGTGCATGCATAGTTGACTGTAATGGAAGCGGTTCCACTTTAAACAAAATAAATATAGCCCTCAGAGTACAGATAAAATACATTCTTTCTGGAAAAGCTTAGAATTGTAAGCATGTCCCGTTATTTATTTCAACTTATCCATTCTCTCTCTGTTGCCACAACCCCTTCAGCCTTACAAATTGAAAGAAAATAGGGACTCAGGGGCACAAGGGCTTATATATCGAATAGTCATCAGAAACTCTACAAAGTACACACTTTCTTAGCTCGTTTAACTCGTCATCTTATTCATTTATTCACATCCTCTTGCGTTCTCTGCTCAACTTTTACTTTTATCTATCAATATTAAGAAGAAGAAAATTATATGCTGCATGGCTCGACAATAGTCAAAATTGCTTTGTAGACAATATTTCTTTACTACCGCTTGATATGTCGAAGACAGATGTAAATATCGGGTATCGTACGCATTGTATTTCCATATGGCCAGGCAGTACGTTGCATTTTTATACGGTTTTCCGAGCTAAACTAACTGATTTTCAGGCCAAATATAGGTTGCATGCATTAGGTTTCGGTTCCTCTAGACAAGAGCCGTAAATAATACTAACAACATATGCTGGTGTGACAAAGTTATTCAAAATTGCTATCTTTAGTACGGCATAGTTGTCCCATGGAACTTCCAGTAGACCAAGTTAGCTGGCAAAAAAAAGCCATTTGCAGAAAGCGTTCACTTATCAGTTTTTTTTCCTGACAAGGGATAAACTAAAACGCTACCGTATCAGAGAAAGCAATAAAAAATATACTGATGTAAATTGAAGTGTTCGCATGGATAGTAAACTTAAACATGCACACTCTTTCAACCCATCCATCGATGCAGAAACGAAAAGTTCTGTAGCGTATTTCGAATTGAAGATGTTTGATGTGTTCCTCAACTCAATCAACTGACGGGTGCCGAGTTCCTTTGCAATTTGTTACCCATACCACAAGATGAGGCGTACACTCATTTTGTCAAAATCCAGAAGGAGGCTTCAGAGATCGTATGAAATATGTATATTCTTTATCGGCATCAATTTGTAAACCGATTTAAGCATGTCCGTCTATCTGAGTAATGTTTATGATAAACGCTCTCCCCATAGTAAAAACAGAGCATTCAGCTTCAAATTTGGCACAAAGTTTGGAAATTCTTGCCGATGTTGCAATTAAGTCTGATTTTTCAATGGACGCGAGTACAGTGCAACATATCCTGAGACCATCTCTGTTTTCAAAAATTAAAAACAATTTTTTTTTTTTGCTCAACACGACAGATTTGCATTTATATTGTATGGGTGAGTTTCTGCAGCTTCGGTGAAAAACTGAAAAAAATCAGCCACGCCTACTTAACATTGCTTAATATTAAAATGTCGTTCTTTTATTAAGAAGAAACTTCAGAGACTACACAAAGCAATCAATATTAAGCAGTGATGGGTATAAAAGATCCGATCGCGGCCGAGAATAATTTTCTCCATTATAATAATTGACTTAGGTTTCGTATTAGGAAAGAGAGCTATTGCTGCAAAGGAACTGAAACCAATCAAGGGAATCAAATTCTCTTGCAGACGATTATCTCGTCATTTTTGAATAAAAACTTTACAGCGGATGAATGTTTTGTTTATTTCAAGACAATCTTCTGTGCGGACAAAAGCCCGTACCTATCGGCACTTCCTGTAATAAGTGACGGCAACTGAAAATTCCACTTAAATGTTTAGCAGAATCATTTTTAAAAGTCCAACTATCTAAATATTTTATATCCGTTAACTATAATCACAAGTTTTACTTTTGATCTGTCTTTTTATTATTGCAGAGCCTTCGGCAGCCGGGCTTATATTTAATGGATGCATTATTTTCGATATTTGTTATTGGTACATTGGTTGTTGTCGCCTGGAGAGGACTATGGGGTGTAATGGATTTAACTTTATATCCGCACGATAGGGCAAAATCAGCTCGCGGCTCATTGGTAAAATGGCAATGAAATACTTTTCTAGGGATACCTTTATTTTTAGAAATGACCTTCAAATTACTTGCAGATGATGGGCTGCGTAACAGTTACTTTAACATACGTTTTACATCCAATTGTTCGTTGGATGTGTGATCATATCGATGGTGTTTGCAAACTAATTATATGCGACATTTATTATTTAGCGGAATTCTTTGGAGCTGTAAATACATGGCGTGGCATTTGGAATCTTTTAGATGTTTACATATACCCTGGTACGTAGTGAACACAATTCGCCCGTAAATTTCGTTAATTAATATTTATGTTTTTTTCTTTCCCATTTTCGTAGATAATCTTATCTTAAGCTATTGCGTAACGCATATTATACCATTCCTCGTACTGACCGCTTTAAAATGTTCAAATTCTATATTGGTCCGTGGTGTTTATATAGATGCGGACGGCGAAGGTAGCGATAGTATTAATATACCCATTAATTATATAAAATTGCATTTCCAACGTGAACGCAATAAACGTTCAAAGGCTATGTCGTTACATAAACCAAATCTATTGATTCATAAGAATGAAAAAGAAGCTCACTGTACCTTAAATGAAAAGAAACCTAAAAATGAGAACAAAATACATTCAGACTTGGATGCCAGCAGACAATTAGTGTGAGATTTGATTTTTAAGAAAAGACACCATAAGGAAAAAAAAAAAAAAAATACTTAAGCCGCCAGCAAATATTTACCAAATATAAAATTAAAATTAACCTAAAAATATTTTTTTTTTTTTGTAAAATCTGTACAAAATTGTAGTCATTAAGTTATAATAATTAATTAAAATATAATTAAAAACATTCCAAAAATCATTTCATGTGTTTGCACACTAAATCAATTTCATTGTTTTCGTTTTTAATAAAAAAAAATAATAATAATAATAATAATAAATAAGTAAAAATATTTTACTCTTGTTGTTGTTAATTTAATTTTTAATTAATTTAAATCAAATGCAATGAAAAATCTTTGTATTAATTTTTAGCAAATGCATTCTTTATTAATAACAAATAAAACTTTTAAAACATATTCACGGTTGTTGTTGCTTTCAGTTTGCCAAAAACATTTCGACGCTGATGTTTACAAAATTAAAAACAAAAAAAAAAAAACAAACAAAATGATACGTAATTAAAAGTGAAAGTATTTACAAAACAACTTGAAATGTGATAGTCGGGTAAGGGCGATCATTAGATACCTTACATCACCTCTTCTAGTACAATTCGTTATCTACTTTCGTCATAAATCATGGTACGCCATGTGTCGCCGCTTAAAGGTTTGCTTTTCATAAGAATCTTAATATGAGAGGAGATCCGAAAAATATACCCATATGATCCAAACTTTGTACTCCGAATTTTGCATGTCACCTCACTATTTTGGAGTTATTTTCATCACTATAAAGCAAAGATTAAATCACTGCTATATGGTAAGAGGATTCATGTAGATGAAAGTTCAAAATATTGTCTCATTCCTCTCAAATTTTTCAATATCATTTGGTATGAAAAGTTCATTTACCATGTCACCTTACTATTTTGGATTTAATATCAAGATTGCGTAAAAAGGTCCCATTTTACTCAAAAAGTGGACTTTGCGTTTGGCATCATTATTTTGTATTTGATTTCCTCACTACATGGCAAAGATTAAATCGCTGCTATATGCTAAGAGGATTTATGTAGGTGAGTGTTCAAAAAATAGTCTCACTTTATCCAAATTTCTCAAAATCACTTGGTATCATCACTGAGCAAAGTTAATTTCGCATGTCATCTCACTCCTTTGGATTTTATTTCAAGATTTCGTAAGATTTACAAAGACGAGTGTTCAAAAAATGGTCTCATTTTACCCAAAATTTTCCAAAATCGCCCAAATTCACCATTTTGAGTCAAATTTCATCCTTAAGTTATTTCTGGCATATAGAAGATTGATATTTTATGAAAAGAGTGTATGTAAGAGAGGGGCCTAGAAACGGTCCTTTTTCAGCCCAATTTTTCACATTCATTTAGTATATCAGAAGACTATTTTTCAACTATTTTCAACAAGCATTAAAATTAGGAAATCCGTTTCCATATAATGACTTTTACCCATGATCGTAAAGGGGAACAAATTTTATGAAAAACCCTTAACCTGTCGGTTGGACAGAACAATTTATCTTAGCAGCTAGTTAGACGGACGGAGGTAATTCGTTTCTGAAAAGGGCCCCGAACTCAAAAGACTCTAGCCCAAGCCATGCTCAATGTTACAAACGTCCTCGCAACTTATTCTGCCATCATCATAAATGGTGTTACGTATAAGAAACGTGGAAGAAGCGTACGGAGGAGCCGCCATAACTACCTTAGTAAAATCAAAAGCTTTATCTCATCCGCGGGCGTCTTGACTGATTGCAAATAATTTTACGTCAAGTCTTTAGAGGCGGATGAGGAGAGAAACATGCTATTAAATATTTGTACAGCATTATCAGTCGTTATTCGCTATAGATTATAAGAAATTAGTCACACTTCTTTAGAAATTATATTATGATATATATTATAAAGGGAACGAATTAAAGAAATGCTCACAAATTTGATCTTTGGTATGAAGTTTCACAATTCTACATGAATGCTTGCGACTGCAAAATTTCGAACAAGAGACGATGGTTAGACAATGTCATATATCGACCCAAAGTCTTGTATTCTTAGGGAGTCTAAAGACCAAGAATATATTGTGCGCTTAGGGCACATTTACCAGACATTAAGCTTCACCGGTTTTCTCAAATTTTTCAGTGATAAGAATTTAAAGAATAAATGACGGGCGGAGACAAAGTCTCCGAGAAAAGTATATTCTGTTCACAGTCTCTCGTGCTTATAAAACTTTGCATATATATAGGTAAGTTTTGGCACCGCGAGAGTAGACGACAAACGAATCTCAAGATCGGAAGGGTACCTATTCCCCAGATACCGTGATTCGTCGAACCCTTTACATATATACTTTTATGTTTGGATTGCAAGACTCCAAAAAGAAAAAAAATAAAAGTATGAAGAGATATATATATAAATCGGTGAAAAATTTTTTATATATGCTTTGTATGGTTCGAAAGATCAAAAGATATATGCAGTTAGTACAACCCTCCTCTCTTGTTCGAAATCGTAGTCGAACTGAAATTCATTTTGGGCTGAATTTTCACAAGATTCTGAGAAATAATTGTGCAAAATTTTTCGATCGATATATATTATAGATTATAAATTATCGATAAAAGTATTTTATAAAACTTTTTGTTGTCTTTATCATGATTGGTATGAGGATGAGATAGTTAATCAAGAAAACAAAAGTTTTAAAATCAAATAGAATTTTAGTCAAACTTTGATTTCTAAAAAAAGTAAAATGGAAACGAAAATTTCGGTTGGCCCCGTTGTCGAAATGTTAGGCGATGAGATGGCCCGAGTCATTTGGGCTTCGATTAAAGAGAAATTGATTTTACCCTATTTGGATATAAACTTGTATACATACGATTTGACAATTGAGAATCGTGACAAAACCGACGACAAAATTACGATTGAGGCGGCTGAAGCTATTAAAAAATATCGTGTAGGTATTAAGTGCTCCACTATTACGCCAGACGAAAAACGTGCTCAGGAATTAAAATTGAAGAAAACATTAACGTCTCCTAACGCTACCATACGTAAGATATTAGGCGGGACTCTATTTCGCGAACCAATTATTTGTACAAATATTCCCCGTTCGATTTCCAACTGGGAGAAACCCATTATAATTGGCCGGCACACGAATGCTGATGAGTATGACGCCACAGAATTTTTGGTACCTGATAAAGGAACACTAACTTTGTCATTTGTTTCAACAGATGAAACAGAAAGAATTGAACGCGTTATTCACGAGTTCGAGGGACCTGGCATAGCTTTAGGTATATATAATACGGATGAGTCAATAACGAGTTTCGCTCATTCCTCTTTTAAGATGGCTTTATTACGTAATATGCCTTTATATCTGAGCACTAGAGGCGATTTGCTTAAAAATTATGACGGCCGCTTCAGGGATATATTTGATGAAATGTATATAAAGCATTACAAGAAGGACTATGAAGCGGCGAAAATTTCGTATGAACATCGTACTCTTAGTGAGATGATAACTTATGCGATGAAATCAGTTGGCGGTTTTGTATGGGCTTGTAAGAATTACGAAGGAGATGTAAATTCATATGTAATAACTCAGGCTTTCGGTTCATTGGGTCTATCGACCTCAGTGCTATTATGTCACGATGGTAAGACAATACAAACTGAAGCAAATCATGGAACTGTGGGGCGCCATTATCGCCTTTATCAGCAGGGAAAAGAAACATCCACAAATCCGATATCTACGATTTTTGCTTGGACACGTGGCCTATTGCAACGTGCCAAATTGGATAATAACGTTCAACTAAAAAAATTTGCCGATACTTTGGAAAAGATCTGCGTTAACACGATCGAATCTGGATACATGACTAAAGATTTGGCCATTTGCCAAATGGGCATAGATGATGTACTACGTAAAGATTACATGGAAACATTTGAGTTTTTAGACAAATTAGCGGAAAATTTAAAAAATGTCTGGTCATGTATGCTCAATAAAAATTACCGCATTGACATTTAAAAAAATCGTAGTGTTATGAGAGATAACCGTTCATCGCACAAGATATGAAGTCTATCGTCACCAAGAAGAAATCAATTATTTTTTTTTTCCAATTTTTCTGTAAAATATTTTCAAAAATACAAAATTTTCAAAATTATTAATCGATTTCAAACTTTCATTACCGGCCATATGCGGACGTGTATTTGACAGATATCATGATTTTATCTTAGATCGTGTGAGATATATATCCGCATACTGTGAACGGGTTAACAAGACAGACTAACATCTGTCAAGAGTTTTATTCGTCTTCGATTGAAGACTGTGCTCGTAGCCCTACTGGTTAATATTCTGCAATTATCATTGTCATTTCCTGGTAAAGAATCGAATTTTAGAATCTATCAACAGCGCCGAACGTTTCGAACGACTCCTTGGAAGTTAGAGGAATCACACGATTTTCATATACATCTTCTTTCTTAGCCATAATTTGTCCATAGTCTTCCTCTGCATTTTCCTTAAGTATTTTTAAAGTTTTTCAAGTACTGAAGACAAGATTCGCAAACTGGGTAACATCTGTCCGTCTGCCTACCCAAATCTCTTCGAATCTATCTTAGGCTCAAAACTTGGAATATCTGCTTCCAATTAGGCAAAAGGATTGGAAGTTACTGCGGGCGTGTCGGCAGGGAAAATGGACTTCATTAGTCGAAAAAAAAACTCATTGCCATCTCTCTCATCTTTGTTCTCAAAGACGAAAAAAAGTTGATTATATTCGACTGCGATCGAATTCTTTATACACCACCGTCTTTGTCCTGCAAAGAAATCATATTTCGTGTTCTATAATATTTGGGTGGACATGGTTGATTTGCATTTGCTAACGCACGTAGAAACTTTTTATCGAGTGTTTATTGTAATTTATGAGCAGTGAACACAAACCCAAGAAAACAGAGGTTTGCTGAATTAATGTTGCAGACTGATCCTTTAGCTGATCTGGGTCATTTCCAAAATTACTGTGCGCAAGAGCTTTGAATGTCTCTGTCAAATCTGAAAACGATAACTTAACTCCTGCAGCTAAGAGAATGATTACCACAGGCGGTGTAGAGACGGGCGTTCTTAAATTGTTTCAGAATTTAATGCTGATATACTTCATAGGATTTCTGAAGCGTCCTTCTGGGCGTTCCAAACGTTGTGACAGAATAAATACACCCCCCATCCTTCGGTGAAGGGTACAAAAACCGTTTTTATACCGCAAGCCGTAAACGTCTGTGAAAACTGACTATCAAGTCAGGCTCAAATCTCAAGTGCTGTAGAGTTTACTTTGCTCGAAGCTATAGTGAGTGGCGGTAAAGGCTTAAAATTTACCCTTTGCGCTTACATCTGCTAGCTTGTCGCTAGGGATGCTGCCGGGTTACCCGTATAGGAGACATCTCCTGAGTGCTTAGCCATATTAAGAGCTCATAACACTATAGCGAGGCAGGTGAGGTGAGTGGCCCACTATTAAATACCACTCATCACCCTACAGTGATTCATATAACTAGTTTCTAAAATAGAGGATTCAACCGCTTCCCATAAAAGACTTTATTTTCAAAAGTTTTTTCAATAGCGTTCGTCCTTGAACCAAATGTACCAAACTTTATTAAAAAATGTCAAAAATTGATGTGCGAAGGCTTAGCACAAAAAAAACAAGGCGGACAGACCGACAGACATGATCAAATAATTCCAAAAGTGATTGTGCATCATGTAATGAAAAGTAAGTCTATCTCAAGGTGAATGTTGAACATAAGAAAACAAGTTGGACAGACGGATAGACACACTTAAACCAAATCTGAAAATGATTCTGAATCGATTGGTATAATGAAAGCCGCGTCTATCTCAAGTCTTTCTAGAATTTATATACATCCGCAAAAACTTAGTATACCCTTGCGCCACAAGCTAAATAAAATTTTGTCGCCAAAAATTTTAATTTTCTAAATGCGTATTTCGCTCAAATCAGGCAAGAAAGACTAGTGACTATCGATGTGAGTGTACGCCTAAAAGACATCTGCAAGCCTTGAGCCCTCTTTATAGGTGAAGCTTTAATCGTTATCGATCGGCATTCGACGAATGCAAAGCTTAAATGAAACCTTAATGTTAACCTATAAAATGTTTCCGGACATTTACAACTGATGCACGAAAAGTATCGCTTGGAAACCGATTATCAGTATTCTAAGCAAGCTTCAATTTTCACATGTTCACCTGTCACACACCGTCCTATTGAATGATTAGAAAATAATTTGTTTTTTGCAAATTGTCCTAAGGTTTTATTAAAATTCGGATAGATGATGATTTTTGGTTGTCAGAAAGGATGAGCAATCAAGGCCTTCACTTTAAATATATTCTTTTTGAGCCGAGACTTGCGGTTAACAAGGACGTACATTGATCTTTTTATCGATATGTGAATGCAACGAGATGACGCAGCGTAATCAAAGAGTTGTTGATACCGTCAAGCTGTTGAAAACGAATTTCTGCAATAGACGCCATCAAAATGTATAGTAATCTTTAAACGAAATTTGAAGGTAATAATTTGAGAACCTTCCCAGGCGCCACATAACATTGAAGTAAACATAAAATTTTTGCTTTTTGTTTTTCTTATTTTATCAAAATAATAAAATTTTATACTTTCTAGCGGATTTAAACAGATGGTCGCTAAACCAATGCTAGACGCATTTATGCGCCACGAATCTGCACTGAAGGGAATTTTCTTATTAAACATACATTATACGCGCATATATATGCACATGGGTACATTTAAGTTAAGACACAATCAATTGAGGCTGAAATAGATGAATAAATAAATAAAAAAATAAATGCAATTAATTCTATTGTATTTTTCGAATCTTTTTTTTTTTGTTTTCTTGTTTTGTTTCTTTTTTTTTTTTTGCATCAAAAATTGGCAGAAGCGTATATTCACTTTGTAGTGGACGTTTTCAAAATTTTCATTTCAGTTCTTATTGAAAAAGCTAAAAGAAATTAACTGTTTGTATAATATTTTGAATTTTTAAAAAATAAATTAAAAAAATTGTATTCCGTATAAAGACTTTCTTGAACGAAAAAAAGGGGAAAAATTAAAAAAAAAAAATTCTGGAAAATTAATGTTAAAAAAATTACTTTAATTGAGCAAAAACGAAATATATATCCGTATTTTTAAAAAAGTTTACAAATTTACATAATCACATTGGTTAAAAAAAATAAAAAAAATAAAAAATAATTGAAAAATAATACTAACAGTAATAATTATAAATATATAAATATCCAATTGTTATTATATTAGCGAAGAGCGACTCAAAAATCAACTAATGGGTATTCCAGATATACGGATGTTAATTACCGTTGATTTTGAAGTTTTTGGTCATGTACAAGGTAAACAAAAAGAAAAAAGCAAAAAGAGTATAGGAAGCCATAGCTCACCTTGCTCTACCCTACAGTTATTCAAATAAAGACTTTTCAAATTAAGGTATTATGCGCGAAGTGGCCGACAGATTATTCCCTTCTGAATCGTTTCCAGTACCTTTCATCCTTGGGCTTGGGTAGACCAAATTTCGTCAAAATATCTGAACACTTCCGATATGTTGGTTAAACTAGAGAAAACAGGATAGAAAGACGGACAAACAAGCTTAGTTAAATCCGTAAAATAAAAAATGGATCTATCTTAAATCCTTCTAGGTGTTACACACCTAGCGCACAAACTTAGCATACCTTTGGAACACAAGGGGTATGAAAATACACATATATATGAATGCTTACTAAGCCTCAAACAAACAATTGTTTGTACTGTAAAAGTTGAGCACTTACTACACATTGTTTTTGGTAAAAATTGTATGAATGCTATTCCTCTCTCTCTTTTTCGGCTTAAACGTTAATTTTAATGAAAGTTCTTAAGTAATTTTTAATTAAATTTAAATATAGTTTTTCTAAATTTATAATAGCAACAACAAAACTTATTGTACTATCCAAATAGCACAACAGCCACTTGGGGATTTTGTTTTGTTTTTTTTTTTTTGAGGTTTAATTTTATTTCTTTTGCTTTAATAGATAAGAAAACTATAAAATGCCTAGAGACGAATCTTGAGTACTCAACACAATATTAAAGAGTTTTATATTCCATTGTAAGGCGGACTAACGCTTGTATATTATTTAATTTCCAATTTCAGATATTTTTCGATGTTATAAACTACGTTTGTCTCAGAGCAAAGTATAGTATTTTAAAAAGTAATTTTTCGATCACTAAATAAAATTCATTCTTAAAGACTTTCTAGCGAGTAATAAAATATGAGCTGGAAAAAAACTGTAGCTACGTTCATCTAAAAACAATAATTAAATGCTTCTTCAAGAGTCTTTTAGCAATTACCGTATGTCGCCTGTACCTGGCTGTTTGTTTGAAACACCAATGAAAAACTTGTCCCATACCATAGGGAACACATTTTGCTTTAAAATGCAGCACATGTAATAATTATTGATTTTTTTTATTAAACGGCAAAGTAAACGACGTGCAAGTAATGTAAATGTATAAACTTAAGAAATTACCTTTGTTTTGGATCCAATTCTTTTATGTCCAATGAATGAATAAATACATTGCGCGCAGGTGATTTTTAGTTGCAAAATAAACCAAAGTCTCTAAAGAAAGTCTGTTTTAGTATAAGGAACAAATATACGATGTATGCATTTACGACATGGCAGCACTTTTTACGTAACAATCTTATAAAGTAAACAGAATAGAATAATTGTGAGTGATGAAACTTGAGCATGATCAGAGATTTTAATAATAAAATCTTACAAAACCCAAAATCTTCGAGTAAACCTCGAGTTTAGAGTGAAAAATGTTGAAATTTTCGCTTCTTTTCGAATTTTCTAAGCAAGCAACGGGAACATCTTCAATTAATCCGTGAAATTCATTCAAAAAATTTATTAAACTTGTTTGAAAATACTTGAGATAGTATTTACTTTACACGAATCATCTGTTGTTCATTCACTTCGACTTGCAGAAGAAGAACAAGATACATACAAATTTTCATTTCCTGCTGAGAATCTAGGATATTTTAGAGAGCATGATTAACGAATTCAAATTTTCAACTTTCTAATGAATTTTCTTGCACTTTCACAATTCCATCCAGCAATAGACAGACTAAGAGCACGACTGGTGTATACAATTTATTGGATCTTTGACGTGTTACAAAAGCGATGATTTATTTAGTTCACTTTCATCATTCGTTACTAATTGTAAAAATAGAATAAGAAATTGTATGCATCACTCTCGGATATTCTAGAAAATCAATATTTGAAAATGTGGTAAGCAAAAAGAATTGGCACAAACATGGGCTTTCATTTCTACGAAGATTTCATTAAATTCTATTGAACTTTTATGTAAATTTTTAGTAAAAATTTCTTATAGAATTTTATTACATCCTATGCCTTCATAACTACAATAAGATATCGCTTCATACATTTCCCAAGAAACCGAATAACCTTAATACTGAAAACGGTTTGAAATTCGTCTCACTTTTTTAGAAATCTACGAATTTTCAAATTTTTTTTTTTGGCGTAAATGAAAACAAAAGACTGTGACGTGGCGGACGGTTAACATGCAAAAATGTTTAAAAATGAGAAAAGAAACGTTGCGGGCGTGCTACAAGCATAAAATAATAAAAGTAGTAAGACATTCATTTAAATGAGAGTTAATAAAGACATAAAAAAATAATAAAGTATATACTTATATATATATATATATATATAGCAAAACTAACTAATAAGAAGATAAAAAACTTGTATTCACATTGAACGCTTCGTTATTACAAAGGAGCGTTGTGGAATTGCTGAAGAAGAAGAGAAAGAAATCTATGAATTACTTTGCAAATATTAATCCAAATTAATTAATGACCGCGAAAGAATGTTATGGGGTGAATCTTTGATATTTTTGAATGTTTGATATCTACCATACGTAATTTCATGAAGAGTCTCTTAACATAAGCTGCTCCTGTCTTAGGTCGTTAAAACTACTTTATCCTGGTCAGGCTTAACCTAGATCCTTTCAAGCTATCAGGATATTAACTTGCCCCATTAGCAGTGAACATGCTTTTTCTTAACGTTTGAGCAGAAAGTTACAAAACTTCATATATCTGCACATAATGCATGTGGCTTTAACTAAGTAAAAGCATTTCTTTTTGTCTAGGTTGTTACTTTACTAAGTATACGAGAGATATGTGTAAAAAGGCTGGCATCACAGGATGGGTAAAAAATTCCAAACAAGGCACGATTGTTGGCAAAATGCAAGGACCAAAAGAAGAGGTTGACAAAATGTAAGTATAATATGCAATAGAACCACCATCTCGTTTATTTAATTATTAATAATAACAATTTTCCTCTATCTGAAAATAGGATTGAGTGGATTTCAACAAAGGGTTCTCCGGGATGTCAAATTGAAAAATGCGATTTACAAAACGTGGGAACTTTAAATCGTTTAGATTACAAAGATTTCGCAATAAGATTTTAGTTAATTTGAGATTTCTGGAAATTTAGTTTAATCTTTAAGCATTTTGTTATAAATTCTTTTTGACTTTTTCTTTTCAAATTGTCAAGAATTTTTCTTTTTTGCCTGATTATAATGAGATTTTTTTGTACTTTATAGAAATAAATTAAAAATAATATGAAAAAAATAATCGACATAAATTTCCATAAAGCCAAAGAAATCGTTAACCATTAATCCCTAAATTTTATATAATTAGAAGAAAGTACGTATTTGAATAATTGATGACGGATAATTAATAAAATTTCAAAAATTTTTTGTTTTCCATATGAATTACTCTATTTTCTTGCCATAGTTTTAATTTTTGCATTACAATTAGTGCTTATACTAGACGTTGAATGCTTTCATAATGTCTAACAAGATTGGAAACGTCCATTGGCCTTCATGCGTTCAAAGGACTTTTCAGCGTTGTAGGTCCTAAAAGAATTTAGAAAATAGAAATTTTTGCCATTGTTTTGTATCAAAGGAAACTTACTTATAAAACTCGGCATAAGCGGCTTTACGAGGATCATTGACAAATACCTTAAAGGCCACTGTCACGAGAGTCGTTAAACCAAGAGCGAGAGCTAAATTACGCTTGGTTTGCAAATGATGTAAACCACGCAAATTGGGAGCAGATCCAACAGCAGGAGGATTGGCCATTTTTTCTGAAATCTGACACAAAACAATTAAGTGTTTTTCATATAAAACTTGAAAGATTACGTAATATTTTTCTATGCATTAATTTGTTTTGTTTAATATATATTTTTGTTAATGCAAGACAAAAGATAAGGATTCATATTTTAATAAAATATTTTAAATATTTACAATAATATATTTTTATGAAATTACTATTACCTCTTTTACGAAAATGTATCACAAATACCTTGTTTAATGGATATGTCAATAAATTTATAAACAGCTGTTCGAATAAAATGTTTTCGAAAATTCCATCAAATTGTAGAAATAAAGGGTTGCTAGATTTAAAAGTGCGGAAATTTATTCTTAACGCAATTTGTAAATCTATTTAATACCTTAGAAATTCCCTTTTTTGGATTCTATAGTAGTTATTATATTTTTTACTCAGTAAAAGAAGATTATAAATAAATTCGTTTGTTTTTATTATTTGCTCTTTATAGCTTTATTTTTTTTAATATATCATTGCATTAATTAATATGTTTGATTAAATTATTTTCCCTACCAATAACATCAACACTTATTTAAAAGACATTTAAACACAGTTGCTAAAAAAAATTGAATGCCTATTAAACACGTCTAGAAATTATATAAAATGGCTACAAAAGACTGGAAGGTGTATTAGTTATTTCACTTAAATCTGTGTGTAATAAAAGCTAGTGGTCTCTATCTAACTAGTGTTAAGTTACATATAAACATTGCAGATTCATTAGTACTTGATATCGTCCAAGTCGCGAAGTGGAAGTCAAATGCAAATGGCGGTTGTTATTGTTCGTGGTCGAAAATTTTTACAAGACGAATTTTTTTTACAAATTTCAACAAGAAAATCTAATTAAATTGTAGTAAATGTACGATTAAATTAAAATTCAACATTTTTGCAAACGGAGTGCGTAATAATACTAAAGTAAAGTATTAATGAAAAATGAAAAACTGAAACGAAAAAGTATGAAAAATTTTTCCTCAGTAATCATACTTTTCTGGTCCCTGCTACCAATACAGCAACAACAAGAAAAGTGTGTAACTGCTTCGTACATTCGTTTTCTACGCCAATGAGTTGGTTGCTCTGCCTGTGATCTCGCTAAGCTTCATGCATAGGCTTCAACTCCAAATGATAATATCACATGCCAAAAACAAGGAAAGTCAAAACAAAATGTGTGGAATCGTACCTTAATATGGATTACAATTTTTATATGAAGGTGTTAATTTTCTGAGAGGGAAAAGGTAGTTTCATTAATAAGTGTAAGGTGAGAAAATTAAAAGTATTGCTTAACAAAAGTGCGTAAAAACAGTGAAAATAATATATAGTTTGTGATAGGCGGAGGGCCAAGAACCCAAAGAAAAAAATTAGCAATAACTATTGTACAGCAACATCAGGCGATTGGTTGACCGCTTGGCTTGCTGTGCAAAAATATTTAAAACAATAATTGTGTAAAGAACATGTGTGGAAAAAATGAAGTAACAATTACATTAATATATTGTATGTATGCAAGTGCGTATAGGGCATAGTGGCCTCTGCATTAAAACTTTGTTTTGGCAATTTGTTTAAATAAAATAGAGTTACCGTGAAAAGCGAGGAGAAAATTTTCTTAGAAAAACCGTATAAAAAATAGTTTAAAAAAAAACTTTTAGAATGCAGCTCTGAATGCTGGCTGGTATGGCATTTCGGTAACGTGATGTAGTCTTTAATCTTTAAAATGTTTGACATATTTATTTTTTACTATAAATTCAATAAGAAAATTTCATAAACAATTTAAGAATTAAATAATAAATTCATATATTTAGTGTTGCCATATTAAAGCCTTCGAATGCTTTAGGACTAAAAAAGAAAATACGATAAAATATTTTTATACAAGTATATAAAGCAAATGTAACAACAATAATTGTAATAATATAAATACCTTAAACATCGTCATCATAAACAGCCACCCATATCACCACCATCAAGTGTTTCAGATGATAAACTGGAAATTTATGGCCAGAAATTGAAAAAAGCGTATACGCTGATATATTTTTGTCTTTTATTTAGGCGGCATGAATAAAATTACAAATGTACATTTTTTATATTATTAAACACCGCCGTACTTTAACTACTAATTTAAAAATTAGTAAAGGCTCACTTGATTCTTAAAATTAAAAAAACATCTTCGTCAAGTGCGATTGTGTGATGATATGCAACTTAAACAGGTGAGTTTTTTAATTTGAGACTTTACTTTATTTTGTCATACAATTCAATTTAAGCAGTGCAGTAGTGTTTGCGTTTGGGGGTTAGGCAGGCTGTCAGGGTCATTTGAGGTCTTTAATTTCTTGGCACGTGTTGTAAACTTTTTAGGGATAATTATATATGTCATGGGACTAATGGACAAAATTAAAATGTACTTATATTCCTTTAACTTCATTTAAGCAAAATTTGTATATAATTTAAAATAGTTGGAAAAATATCAACATCATATTGCATTTATATTCATTCGTTGCATGTATTTATTTAGTTTCGTGGGATCCCTTATTTTCTCTTTCCAAAAAAAAGTGGTGCCAGGTTTGAAATAATTGTTAATAATTTTATTTAAAGAAGTGTACAATTTAATTAAGTACTTGTTAAGTGAGCTTAAATAATTTTAAATTCCATGTTGGTTTTTTTTTAAAATAGTAGAGGTAAAGAATTAAGCCTGAAAACTTTAGCGTTATTGGCAATCATCGCTTTTCTTTCCTTTTTTTTCTTTTAATTTTTCACTCGTTGCTAGTTTTTCTATTTTCTTCTATATCTTTTTACTTTAACTAATACACTTGTGTTTTAACGAGTGGTTCTCCTTAGAAAAGCTAGTAAAAAATGGCGTCAAGAGTTATGAGAAATTACTAATAAAAAAAAAATATTTTAATTGTGAAATTCGTAAAATAAGAAATAAATAATTATATCTAAAAGTGAAATTCATTACGAAAATATAAAAATTGTTCTTATTATGTTGCTATTATTTTTCCTTGTTGATTTCCAATAAGTTGTATAGTGTACCCGTTCTGACTAACGCAGGATGTACGTGTAAAAAGTGTCTGGAATATGAATAGTAGAAAAACCAGAAATGTCAAAAACTTGTATTTTTTTCAATATTGTACGTAATATGTACGAATGTTTATGGGCACAGTGGAAAAACATATGAAAATAGTATTTAGTAACGAATTTGGTAAATGAAGGAATATCTGATAAAAGTAAATGTGTATAATAATGGTAAATAAATTAAATTTTAACTAGAAATTGCTTTCATTCTTGGCATTGCCATATACATTAAATAAAAATTGTACTTAATAAGATTTAAGAATTTTCTACGAGACGGTTTTAAAGATTAATTTCGTTGCAATTGCAGCAGCTTGAACCGTGTATGCGGATAACGTTTCAAATTCCTAAGGATGCGGCGCAAAGGTTACGCCAATTGGCTACCGAGGGCAATGCGGCTGTGCGAGCCCTCGGTATTCGTTCCGTACAATTAGAAGGCGATTCTGTGATATCACTGAATATTGGTGAACAGCAAATTGATGTCAAAACAACAGGTAAACAGCAATAAATTTGTTTTGCAAGACGTGTCACTAAATAACTAAAAAAATTTATTAGATAATATAATTGGCTTGGGTTCGCAGTCGTCAGGAACGTCTGCTAGTGATGTTGGCAGTAACAATGCGGATTTCAGTGACTTATCACAATTGCTTACTTCGGGTAATTTTCCCGCCTCCACTTCTTCTGGAAATGGTTTTGTGCAGCAACAGCCACCACCGTTGCTTCAAACGCAACAACAAAACAACATGGCACCAAATGTTGCCTTTTCTAGTGGAATAATTGGAGAGGGGGCAGGTATTTCGTTGCAACAGCATCAGTTATTGCAACAACGACGGAATATGATGCTTGGAGGTCCAAGTACTAGTAACGCAGCTATAAAACAACAGCAAACAGGTGTTTTTAATCCGGTGCCCGCAGGAGGACAAAATCAGTCCATATTCAAATCACCCAACACTGTTTGTCCCATGGAAGGCAAAATACCGGTGCCACCTTCGTTGCAAATGAGTAGCTCCAGTACGACAAGTGCAAGAGAATTTCCGTTTGAAAGTATGCGCCAGGCTCGGGTGTTGCAAGGACGGGACAACGCTTTGAATGCCGTAGGGTCAGTAGGCACACCGCCGGGCTTATCTTTAACGGCCGGAAAGCCTGCTATGACGACCGTATCTAGTGTACAGCAACAACAGTTAATGAGTGGCTTGGGACCTCCACCTAACGTTGCGCTTAAAGTGATAAAAAATCCGCAAAGTGGTGAATTAATTACAACAACAGTGGCAGCGGGTTCGAGCAAATCGCAGTTTTTGCAACCACCTCCTCCTCCGTATCCAGGAATGGGAGCTCCTGCTGTCAACTCTCCTGCCTCTTCTATTCCAGCGTCAGTTGTTCCTCAGTTAGTGAAACCAGTACAGAATTATTTGCATTCACGAGTCGCACCCCCGCCTTCGCCATCACCAGCAACGGCGTCGAATGTAGCTTCCGTTAGCAACAACATTGCAATGTCATCACCTCTGCTAGTAAATCTATTGCAAAATGACACAAGTTCTTCGTCAACTGCTCTACTAGGGAATCAAATGAAGACATTGACGTCGCCGCAACATCAACAACAACAGCAGCAGCCGAGCTTGATACAGCAAACGTCTCCACTTATGGCTGGTATGAGTCCGCAACAACACCTAATGAACTCTCCTTTGAGGTCCTCTTCAACTCCAAGTAGCGATTTCATGGTGCCGCAGACACAACAGACACAGCAAACGCAGATACAACAGCAACACAGTGCCACAGGGTCCGGAAATTCAGAAAATGTTTTAAGCGTGCCTTCATCACCTACTACTAATGTGCTGCGCACTATACAACAAACACAACAACAGCAGAACATATTAAGTTCGAGCAATAACAACTTGTTTGTTCAACAGCAGCCGCAGCAACGTTTTCAACAGCAACAAGTATCGCCTCAGCAAGCAAGTTTGTTACGTCAGCAACAATTACAACGGCAGCAACAGCAAATGCATCCGAGCCAGCAACGCTTCTTAGCACAACAACAACAGTCACAACAGCAGCCGGGTCAATTTCAACAGCAGCAAACCCAACTGCTGCAACAACAAACTGTGGCCGTTAATTCCCTCTTGGCTCAGCAGCAAATTCGCCAGATGCGTGTCACTTCGGTACAAGCGCAACCACAGTCGCCGTTACAACAGCAAAGATTGATTGGCATGGCAACGCAACAACAGCAGCAGCAACAACAATTGCCGCAGCAATTTATGGCTGTTGCGTCTGGAGGGATGTCACCAGCAGCATCACATTCGCCTGCTTCCAGTCATCACTCAATGCATAGTCCCCACATGACGTCACAGGCCCATCAACAGCAGCTGCTTTCCCCCTCAACAACGCCTGCGCAATCACCTCATAATCAGCTTGCACAGCCATTGCTGCCTCCTCCTGCTGCCTCACCTGCCTTAACGCACAATACCAATATGCAAACCTCTCACGTAGTACCTTCCTCCCCTTCGCTCTCAGCCGCTAATGCCGCAGGTAGCAGTGTAAATTTACCGCCTCCGCCCGACTACAACTCAGCAGCTGCCGCCTCAGTCTCTAGATGGTCTGCATCTATCAATAAACCCATGGATTCTGCCACAAAACGTAGCTTTCAAGAGTTTACACGTTATCAGATACAATACAATTTGCAGCAACAACAAAACCAACAGCACAGGCAGATTATTAATGAAATCGCCAATTCTTTGCATGGGGCTGCTGCCACACAACACGAGAGTTCGATGAGTAGCTCAAACTCGGAAATGAAAACGAGCAGTTCAGTTATTCACGGTACTGCGTCGGCTCAAACTGGAGGTACTAGCGGCAGTACCTTAGAAAGTGGAACTGTATGTGATGATCTGTCTGATCCGTTAATAACACTTTCCGATTTGGATGCCTTAACGACAAACGATTTGGATGCATTGTTGCCCACCTTGAGCTGTGATATTGATTCTACTTTGAGCCTCGATGATAAGAATGAATTAGAATCGCTTTTACAAGATGCAAAAGATCTCGATTTGGATTTAATAGAGGAAAATTTATCGGCGGTCGGTATGGATATAGATGAGACCGCTTCTTCCTTATTAGGAGGAACCGATGCAGAAATGCCACCGAACGTAACGTTGAGTGTTGATCAATTAACTTTACACCAGTCGCAGCACCAGCAACCGCAACAGCATCAAATGATACAGCAGAGCCAAATCATGCAGCAGCAACAACAGCAACAAATGTTAGTGCAACACCGTCAACAGCAAGAGCATCAACAACAGCAGCTACAAATTCAACAGCAAAGTCAACTAATGCAACAGCAGCAAAAACCGCAACAGCAAACTTTACAGCAACAACAACCGATACAAGTTAACCAAAATTCAGTGCCTCAGCAACAAATGCAGCAGCAACAACAACAATTTCTTATGAATTCAAATCACTCACAACAGCAAGAATTGCTTCCGCGGCAAAATATTAGTAAAGTTACACCGCCTGCATCTAACAGTAGCACCAGTACTACAGGTAACTTAACTAGTACAATTGCGACGACTTCGATCCAGCCAAAACAATTTTTGATTAATCCTTTAACTGGGGAATTGGAACCTGGTCCCAGTGACGATAGTGAAACAGAAGCCGAACAAGAGACCCAGCATCGGTCATCAAAGCAAGCACACAATAACAGTAACGTGAGCAACTACACGCCAAACAATAGTGCAAATAGCATTTACGATTTGGTACCGAATACAACGCATTTCTCTGAGGATTCCAATTCAAATTCTTGCGGCACAGGCATTTCGAAATTGTCCACAACAGATCATAATAGTGGAGGTGGCGCTTTAACACCTCTTCTGTTGGGCACTGGATCAGATACAGAAAAGTCCCGAGACTCTTTGGTTTCTAACAAATCTCAAAGAAATAAAAAATCTGGCAAAACACCAATAGGAGTGTGCAATAAATTAGGTGAAGAAACCGATTCACAACGCTTAACTACCAGTTCTCCTTCGGTAAATGCGATTATTTCTGGTAATGCGACGTCAACGGGTAACAAACGATCCAAAACAAATTTGTTACGTGAAAAATTACAACAAGGATTACGTGAAAAGAAAAGTAAAGAAGCATCTACATCAACGTCAGCAAAACCAAAGCGGGAACGAGCCAAAGCAGCTAATAAGTCTAAAATTGCAGCGGCGACGCCAACAGCAAGTCACATTAGTGCGAGTGGTGCAGTGACAAATATGTTCAGCCCCGCGACGACAAGTAAAAATGTAACCGGTTTGACGGTCACTTCAAGCTCTTCAGGTATTGACGGTAATTCTTCTGCAACTGCTACAACGACAACGACAGCTGAGAAAATCAAACTACGATTAAAATTAGAAAAATCGGAACCTGTTTCACCAGCATATAAAGTTGAAATGAGCTTTGGTACGGATAGCGACCCAAATCAGCAGCAGCAGCAGCAGCAGCAGCATCAATCACAGTTAAACGCACAAATATTGGCGAGTAATGTCATGCAACAGCAAATGCAACAGCATAAACAAATTTTCACGAATCCAGCAACACATCAATCCCAGATACAACAGCAAATGGCTTCACAACAATTTCAACAGCAGCAACAACAGTTTAGTAACTTCACAGTACCTCAACAAACTATTGGTGGTGGCTTATCTTCGCCGTCAGTAGGCGTTACTCCGGATGAACCGCGAGTTCCGCCACTGCATATAAGTTTGCGCGGTGGTAAAAACTCTATTGTTATTAAAAATAATCGAAAGGAACGTAAAAAGCTTTCGAATGCAAATAACTCAAATGAATTGAGTGCCTCAGATGAGATCGAATCTAAGTCAAGGGGCCAGTTGAAGCGGAACCATTTGATTACTGATTCCAACAATGTTATTGACGAGGGCGTTTTACATCATAAACAATCCAAATTGCATACGGCTACGAATGTCTCAACCGCGCAACAACTGAATGGAATGCCTAATTCCGATAACAGGCTTAAAACATCCAATAATCATTCTGCAATTGTAGCCGGAAAGAATGGTCTTACTATAAATACAACAGAAGCGTTGAAGAATCACCATCATTCTATAATGGAGAGCGTTACGTTAGGCTCTACGAATATAGGAACTGTCCCACATATGTCAGCTCAACAATTATTGCAGCCCAGTACGCAACAGCAACTGGCTAAGATTACAACGTTGCCGAACAGCATTACTCTTAGCACGATAACACCGAACAGTGGATCGGGAATGACCACTCACACCAGCCATGAAAGCAATTTGAATACCGCGCGAGTTTTGAATAATTTGCAGCTGAAACATAACCTCAAAACGACAGCCACTATTACGCCGATAGGAGGTAAGCCTTTGACGAAAAGTCACAAGCCTCCGTCATACCTAACGGCTGTGCAACAATTACAAATGCAGAAACAACAACAGCAACAATTGGCGACCCTGTCGGAAAAGCAAACGCAGCAGCAAATGATAGCGGCCGCCGTTACCATGCTACCGAGTGCTACTACATTGAAGCGCGTAGAAATAACAAAAGTAGAACGTAAAGACGTGAGCGGGAAAGTAATTGAACATGTACTCCTTAAATCTAATGAGCAAGTAGTAGCCACCAGTAAAAGTAATACCACCATTACAGCGTCACCGACTAGCAATGCTATTAATAATAATAATTCCATGACAAATAGCGGAGATAAAACGTTAAACACCGATACGGGGAATCGTGATATGGTTATGGGTAAAAATGGCACGGATATCGGTGCTGAATCAATGAACGGTGTTACCTGCAATAACACAACGATAACAACCACTGCAACTACAGTCATTACCGCAATATCCAGCAATAATGGTGGCAACAGTAGCAATAATGTAATGATAACACCCTCTAATAATGCAGTGCACAATGCCAGTTGCACAGTCGTATCGACAATAAGGAACTCGCCATCAAGTAATGGCAATGGCACCCCTGCGCATCCGAACAGTAGTGGCAGCGGTGGCAATAGTGGTGGAGGCGAAGATAGTGGCATAGAATCAATGGACGCTCTTTCGGAAAAAAGTCCACATCAGGCGACTTCTTGCAGTCCTCAAGCTCTGCAACCGCAATTGAGTACGGAGAAAAGCGTAGGTACAATGACTGGTACAACCAATAAACAATTTAACAGTGCAGCAAAAAATGCGGTCGATAATTTACCAGTAACTCAGGCGGAGCTTAGCATTGCTGATGATGAGATTGAAAAGGCTTTGGCTAAAATGGAAGGTTTTGCCGACGACGATATTTGCATGAATGATGAGGATAATAACAAAGGTGACAACTATAAACATGAACAATCAAAACTTAATGGTGACCATAGATTGATATTAGACGAACATATAAACACAGGTCTTTACAGTGTCGTCGGAGATGATGATGATGATGATGACGACGATCTCATAAAAAATTTGACGGCCAGTATTTTGGAGGAAGCAGCTGAAGGGGAAAAGGAAGCTGCCAAAGCAAAACTAGAGGCCGAATTCAATGAAAAAACTTCATCATTATCATCAATTGTGGAATTGTCGGTGAATGAAGAAAGCAGAATCAAAGATATTATGGATTCTACGTTAATAAAAAGGGAATTGGAAACCAAAGTGTCTGCGTTAGTTGGACTCGATGACACAATTAAGGTAACTACTGTACACAATAACAACAACAACAATAATAATTACAACAAAACAGCGGAAAAAAAATCCGAAAGTATTATAAAAAAGGAAAGCCTAAAAGATCGCACCACAGCAGCCATGACCGACGCCAAACCGAAGGTAAATGATAAAGAAGTTAAGTCGGAACTAATGGATGCTGAGGGTGGTGGGCTTTCACCTATAACTATTGAAATACCAATTCAAGCAGATATTGATTTACCGAGAGTGCGTACTAGAGCAAGTAGCCGTTTAGGTAGTCCGATGGATATCGTTCCCAAAATAAGCCCACCACTAGAATCAACAAGCAATATTACAAACTTGCAATCTGGCAATAAGCACGTTGTAGGTACCAGATCGACTGGTCATATAGAGCGCGCTAATCTTGGACCAAATGCGAAATCTTCTATCTCCAGCACAAACATCACTGCCGGGACTATTATTAGTTCGGGAGGAAGCGCAGGTTTACATCATCATGGCAATAAACGTAAAAGAGAAGAATCGGAAGCCGCCAATAACGGGAACGGTGAGTTTAATCAGGATATTAAACGTACTCGTAGCGGTAGTACAGGTGGCAATGCATCCGTTAATGTTGAGATTAGTGATAGTGGGGCAAATGATAGGAAGTCTGATATAACTGATCCGGCTGCAAATGAAAAGGACGTTAACAAAAAAGCAGAGGAATCTTCTGATTCAGATGAGCCTTTAATTGAGGTGGCGGGTAAGGTCAGGAACTCTAAAGTAGGAATTGCTTGCAGCAATGAATTGGGGCTGAATACAAATCATCCAAATAATAACGCGACGATAGTCACAACAGCTGGGGCAATTATCTTAGATAATACGGAAAAAGTGACTCGCAACAGTCGTACACAGCAACAGCACAGTAGTAAGTAGATTTTTTCAATGCCGGCCAAAATATTTAATTCCAATTTCAATCTTTAGAATTATTAACAACTAATACAACCGCAAGTACTGAAATTGCAAGTACAACACCGGGTTTAGCAAATTCCGTAGTAAAAAGTGCAAACAAAAATTCTGTGGGGAGTGTCAGTTGCCAAGCAAATCATAACCCAGCGACTCCTTCTAACGGTACAGCCGTGTTAACAAATGCCTGTGCCACAGTAGCGACGTCAACAGTACCACATGCGACACGAGGTACCACCAGTATCAATCACTCATCCGGTTCCGTCAATGCCAATAATAATAATAATAATAATAATAATAATAATAATAATAATAATAATACTAACAATAACAATTCCGGTGAAACAGAAAAAATAGGTACCCGCCGAAGCGTTAGAGCATCTGCAGCAGCTAATAAAATTATCTATACACGTGGCGGAGCTATGGGAGGCGTTCACAATAATACACATTCACTGAACAGTACCGAAAAAACTTCAGGAACAACCAAAAGTAATGCTGGCATTAGTGCAGCAACGGAAACTGCGGCCGAGGCTCGAAGAAAAACACGAAGTGCGGGTAATTTATAAAATATTTATTTAATTCAGATAATTTTTATAATGCGAGATTATTATCGATTTAGTAATAGGTGAAACTTTGCTAACTGAAGGACGTCGTAGAAGAGGCTCCAGAGACTATAAGTGACCAATGTCTTGCGCCTCGGCTGTGGGCACACATGAAATTACCGATTGTATTTCAAGCGATGAAGACGCTGATGATGATTACGAATGTGTTGAAAATAGATCTCAAAATTCTTTACAACATATTAAAATGGATTTTTCTGACACCGAAGATTTCGTTACAGCCGAGACGCAGGATAAAATTGATAGTACTGATGTGTTTAGGGGCTTCGAGAAAGTCCTAATATTGAATGAAGGAGAAGAGTTAGAAGCGCTGGAAGAGGAAACCAGTCAAAGTCGACCAAGTCCCACTACAAGTGTCATAACTTTAGAAAGAACTAAATCTGATGATGATGAGGATGATGATGATGATGATGATGATGACGACGACGACGACGACGACGACGGAATGGCTTGCCTGGTAGCACCCGAACCTCATGAACTATTGGCCCTAGGCGATGATGTAACAGCAAATCTTTTGCTACCAGAAATTCAACCTAGCACGGCTTTGGACTGCTCTACTTTTGGCGATTTCGATGAGTTTAATATATGTTTAAATAATATGTTAAACGACGACGATGTGCATGATTTGTCACCTTCAGCGGTAATAGCTGACACAATTTCCACTGAAGTCGAGCAAATGTTTGACACGACCGTGAGTAAATATGATGAAAATAAAAGCGATGCTAATTCTTCAATGGCGGCTGAAAAACAAAATAACAATTACGTAAACGGTCAAGTCGTTTCAGCCGAATTGGACTTATTGAATATGGTGCCACTCGATGATCAAACCGCTAATTACAATTTCACAAATGAATTTATTGACCGGAAAAACACCACCACCGCGGGTAATAGTTCTACTTCGAATATTATTTACACGAGTCATGGAAAACACGAATTCGTTGTCGACGCAGACTTAGATTTGAACATAATGGAAACAATTAACGAAGAATCATCCACTTGCAATTCATCCGTATCGACTGTATCCGCCTCTATTACCACTGAAAACTCGACAGCTTTAAACGTCATTAAACGCAATAATCAGAGCATTGTAAATATATTTCAATAGTAGATGCTAGAGAATTAGAAAAAGAGCGTACTATGCTAAATACTGGTTCATTTCTCGAATGCAGCCTAATCTTATGAATTCTTATGTGTGACCTTAAAGGTTAAACATATAAAAAAAAAAAAACGTCACATAATTATGTATATTTGTAATCTTTTTCGAACTTACTCTTTACGATACAGTGAAAAGTTTCAACAACTGATATGCAAGAGGATATATTAAAAAATTTTCATCTATCGCGAAATCTTGTTTGCATCATCGTTATTAACGGAAATTCCATTGTTGAGAAGTTTCCCTGCATCTAATTCGAAAAGTGTTGAATTTTTTCAATTTTCTTTTTATATTTAGATTTATTTATCTAGTCAAATTTTTATTTAAATTCTTTTTAAAAATTTTATCTAGAAAAACTTGCAGTAATATTTTTTTAAACAATATTCTTGCATTCATAGTGAGTTTTAGTGCAAAGACTTTAGCCCATTTGTGCTGCAGAAAGGAAAAAAGAAAACGTTCAGTCTACGCATAATCAAAAAAGCGGTTAATTTTTTTTTCTTTTTTTTTTTTTTTGCTTAAACCCCACAACCGATTTTGAATGATACTTTTATTTATTTTTAATACTTTTTAGTCGTGATCCGATCTAAGGAGCTTTTTAAGCTGAGCATCACTTAGGTGAAAGCAATTCGGAAACATTAGTTAAATTTTTGGTTTCGTAAACCTCCATATCCATAATTGAATTGATATAACATTGCAATATAATCGAGCTTTTGTCCATCATCATGTTTTATAGATGAATAACGAAAATTCCTTCAAAATGGAATTTGCTAAATTTCTTACCCAATCCGAGGGGTAAGCGTTGAAAATTCCACTTGCTTATTATGCAACAAACTTTAACCAACCTCTGGGTTTATTTATTCACAGATACTTTGATATACAATTTTGATGACTGCGTTATATCTATTGTCGCGAGTTTTGTATTAGTCGCTTAGCAGAATTGCTTTCGCTTGTCTTGGTGACGAAAGTTGATTCCCAAATTGAATCGTTTCGATTCTCAACGACGGGAGCAGTCATAATGAAAGTCTCCATTTTTTTTTTACCGGTCTTTTGGGGGACTCACTAAACGGAAGAAACAAAAGCGATTTTCAACAAGACTTTATCGTTCGACGTTTTATTTTTTATTTTTTTTTTGCAATTCGAACTCTTTCTGTTTTTTTTCCCCCCCTCTTTGTCTCTGGTATTTTTATTCTCACATTATGTTTGCTCTACTTTACTAAATGGGCTTTTAAAGTAATTATCAGAGATATCGTTATCGGGCAGTCATTTTTATACCATTTCACTTTTCAAAAATACCTCAAATCGTTCACGGTTCATTTACGACGTTGCTCAAGTAGTAAAAATCTTCATTTAAAGGATCTCGGTCTTTAAATTTTACTGAGATAACTTTCACTGTTTATTCTCTCACAAGAAACACATCCGCAACACATATATATTTATCATTCTCTTTATATATATATATAAATTTTTTTCTACTTTTGTAAGACACAATGTAAATAGTGTAATCGTTTGCTGTACAGCTAAAATAGTTACATAAGTGTAATTTTTTTTTATTTTTATTCTATTTATCCACTGATGTATATAAGTTGTTGAAATATTTAGATATATTTTTTAACTTTTCTCGTTTTATTTTTTATTTTTTTTTATATCTTCTTTATTAATTAAAAAAGTTTTTATAGCTGAAATAAATTTAGAAGGTCTAGGGCTAGAAGACTAAATAATCGCTAAAAAAAACGTAGTTCATAAATTCATTTTTTTATTAGGAAAATTATTAAAAAAAAATAAATAAATAAATAAAAACAGAAACCACTTGGAAATGAGAAAATTGTACGCACTGCAAATTCCCCCTTCCCCCCGCAAAAAACAAATTTTTAAATTATCTACATAATTTAAACCTTTAATTTTTTGTTTATCTTGGATCGTCACTTAAATTGATCTAAAGAGTTAAATTTATTATCTTACTGACTTCATTAAGCAAAACTTCGACTTGCTACTTTGAAAATAGATTTCGAAGGTCAAATGTCCTAAAGGAATGTCCATCAAGACCAATTTATTACCACCCTTGGAAATGTCGGCATTAATTTTATTTTTAGGAAACGAAACGAGCGGCGATTTAGTAGAGAGAAATGCATTTTCAAAACTTTTAGTTATTAAATTGAATAGTTTAAAGCTCATCTAGCAAGAAAGAGTAGAGTTTATTTAATTGAGTTTCCATAGAAATTTGTGGCTTGAAGTTGATTGAAAATAGGAATAAACTTGTGCAAGATTTTTAATCCTGTCAATGCCTTCATCATGCTTCTCAAAATATCTGAATTTCGATCGCAAAATCTCCGAACTAAAGTAAAAATAGAGTAAGAAAGAGAAAGAGTTCAACAGAGACAGATATGTGGACTTATAGGTTCGCTTTATCAGTCAGGGTGCTGCATTAAATGCAAGAATGCGTAATTCGAAGTGCAGCGTTAATAAGAAACGGTATTTTTGGGCGAAAAAAATTTATTTTTTGTTTAATTGCTTAAATTAATTTTTAAACAAATAGTGCTATCTTTTTTCACTCTATGTTTCTCTACTTACGAAAATGTATTTTTTTTTATTTTTCCTGTATCCATAAAAAGCGTTTCGATTCTTTTATCTTAGGCAACTGTATTCAAAACATATATCTTTCTACGCCTTCAACCGAATCTAATTATATATATATATATATACAGAGTAACGCAATAATATGTTGTATTTTCTATAGAGTAAAACAAAAATTCATATTATAAGAAAATGAAAATTGTAAATACATAACGGAAATATTTAAACATTAAACTATTTTTGCTAAGTATTTATGAAAATAATAAAGAACAAGGAAAAAAGCTGAAAAAATATTTTTGCTAATTTTCATAAATAACAAAAATGAAAAAAAAAAAAATAAATAAATAAATAAAACTGAATTTCTTTTTCAAATTTTCATTATTTTTATAAATAAGAAAATTACTACAGTTTTCGTACGCACTACATACACTACTCTTACGCATATGTAAAATAAATAAATCCCTCCATTTCCTACTTTTCGAAAAACTCTTACGTATAAACAAAAAAAAAAAAAGAACACGTTTTGTTTTTTAATTTGTCTATTGTTTGTATAAATTATTCTTATTGCTATTATTATTATGATTAATACGTTAGTAACTCTACGGTATATAGTTTTTAAAACTTCAATAATTGCTTTTATTATATTCTTAATTAAAAAAGTAAAATAAACAAAAAAATTGAAAAAATTCTTTATATGTTTGTAGTATATATTAAATAGAATTAAAAAAAAAAATATATATATATATAGATATATATATATATATAATCTACAAATCTTTATGTACATTTAATTGATATAAAACAAAATCGAGCAAGCAAATAATTTTTAAGCTTAGTGTTTAAATGAAACGAAAATAATAATAATGATAAAAAACTCCCTCAATATTATATGAAAAATAAATAAGGAATAATAATAATATGTAATGAAAAAACCAAGTGTCTTAAAGAATTGTAGTATTAGTATATCTCTATTAATATATATATATAAATATATATATATAATTACATATATGTGTATGTTCATATATGTATTTATATGGACGAGCATATATGTACATAAATATATATATATATGTGTATGTATATATATTAAATATATATTAATTTAGTACATTCTTATTATTATTGAAAAAAAGAAAAAAAACCTTAAATATACAAAAGATAATAAAAATTAAAAGGATTAATTCACATAAACAGAAAATAATATTTAGTTATTACATTATTCAACTTGATTATATTATTTATATATAAAATTACAGAAAAGAGAATATCTATTTAACAAAAAAAAAAAAAAAAAAAAAAAAAAAAAAAAAAAAAAACAAAGAACAATTATTATTATATTATTATTATTATTATTATTATTATTATTCTAATTATTATTATTATAAAAGTTAATTCAAAACAAACATTATTGTAATTTAATTTTGAAAATGTGTAAAATAAAAAAAACAAAAACAAAAAAAAAACAAATTCCCTTCACCCCCTATATAAATGCATATAAAACAATAAAAAAAAACAATGTTTCATAAATAAATAAAAAAGCGTTGATTTATTCTTACCTTAAGTATGTATTTAAATTATTATACCCACATCATGGCAAGATGAGGGGTATATTTATTTTAGCAAAATGTTTGCATTGCCCACAAGGAAACTTTAGAGCGTTAAATTCTGAATTTATTTTAGCATGTCCATCGGTCCTTCTGCTCGCATTTGCAGCATCTGTGATAAACATTTCCCCTTTTTTGACGGACACACCTACAACGCCCAAAGGCGGCCTATACTATTCGCGTAAAAACGGAATTGTAAAGAAAATTTACAAAAGTAGTCCAAAGAAAAAGCGGAATATGTAAATTATGAGTTTTTTAGTACTTTTTATATTTTTTTTTTTTTAGTGCTTAGTATTAGTGTTTTGATCACCTGGCATAAATAGTAGTTGCTAGCTTTGCATTTGACGACATTGATTTTTTTATAGCGTGAAAAATCGGATTGGCGAAATTATTAAGAGTTAATCAAAAAAGATAAGATTTTATATGATCTTCGACGGACGAGAAAGCACCCTGAGATCAGATTTGTTTAAGAGAAATTTCTACATCAAATTAACTTAACAGATCATATTCCCACACTAAACAGAAGCTTAAGTGCATTGCTTGATCCACCGTTTATCGTATTGATCTATTCAGAGTCAATTTCTGAATCGATATAAGCTTGTCCGTCCGTCTTGTAAGCAATCAATCGGGGCAAGTAATCACATAACTTAAAGTTGAAATTGACGTAAAATTTTCCGTACTTGAATACTCTCCAATACTATAGGAGAAAAGTTATACCATTTTCTATCCGAGAATATTAAAAAAAAAGTGTTTTTGCCTTGTTCTTCACAAATTGTTCCTTTATTGGAAAATATAGGAAATTATCCATAACAATTTTAAAATTGTAAACAATAAATTTATATATAAATATTAACACCTTTCTGCAGTTTTTCCTGTATTTTTCGAAGTCGCCCTGAAGAAAACAGATTCACCTTAAAACGATATCATAAGTACTCCTCGCCGTAAATAATATTTAAGAATTATGGACTTATCGAGTATCAGCTTATAGCGTCTTTTGAAATGGTTATACTATATGAATGAATTATATCTCGATTTGCTTGAAATAAACTGAAATTTTCTCGGTTCGCTTTCCAGTCATTTTACCATTTAAAAATTTTGTGGGCCAATTTTTAACCACTTTATGACCACTTTTAAACTTGCTCAGTCTCATCTTTTTAGCGTAATTTAAAAAACCAAAAATAAACAGATAAATTTTTAAATCAGTGCTGAATTTCATTAATCAGGAATATTTGGATTTGATGAAATCTTTAATTACAAATGAAATAACAAAATTAGCATAATCTTCTCTTAAATACGACAGTGGGTATAAAAAGGTGAACGCTGTTAAATCGAATGAAGAAAGAAAATAAATACAAAACCATTGTTTTCGATTAACTAAAAAAGTAAACTGAATTGAGAACGCTTTGTAAGTCGAAGTCACCCTTTTTTGGAATTTGACCTAAAATACGGTTTGAACGGTGCTTAGAACCATCTTCCTCGGAGCCATCGTTTGAAAAATCACTGAAATGATAAAAATTTATTTAATGAATTACATTTTTCAATTCCATTATATATACCTTGGCTTGAAGCTATATGTTTTTTTAAGGAACTCTGATAAATCTTCCAGAATGGGTTGTGAGTGTAGAGACACGAATTGCTGCCGGCAAATTTTATTTAGTTCGGGCACGGTGCAGGCATGTGTCCAAAAGCAATCGTGTACAGAAACAAAAGTCAAACCTTGACGTTCGCAGTGCAGTGAAGTTAGCATCATATGAGATGAGTCCAAAGAATGTATAAAATTTGGCGGAAAAGCATTTTTTTGTTTCATAACATTAGGCTTTTCGTACAGGTCGGTTGAAATATTAAAAATGCGAGAGGCACTCTGTTTATAAGAATCTTGACGATTATAAGGTTGTACGACCGGCAGTCCCAACGGCGTAATCCATTCCACATTTTTGCCACAAACACCCGATATGACGCGAGCGCAAGCAGTGAACCAATCTTGAATTTCGCGTGTTGAAGTAAACATTTCACGTAAACTTAAAAACGTTTTCGTTGTGAGATAGGAAGAAGCTGGCCAAACCCAATCTTTCGGAAAATCATCGATATCTTTAAGCTGACGAGCAATTTGCAAACGAGCGCCATGCCTAGTAACGCCATACACCGTCGTCATTACTGTTTGCTTTATCACTTTGCGTTTAACAAAGCCTTTAAGAACTTCAGCGATTTGTAAGCCGGCTTAGGCCGTGACAAAGAGGGTGGAGCGAGTGTAAATTTGTCACCTTCTTCCTCTTCGCGGGCTGTTTCCACTAAGACCACAACACCGCTATACACATCTTGAGGAACGGAAGAAGGTGACAAATTTACACTCGCTCCACCCTCTTTGTCACGACCTAGGGCGGCATAGTGCTGTAAACCATTGCAGGAGCCATCCTGGTGAACAGGAAGACGACTTTGATATTCAGCTGGATTGGGCGATCGGTGGGCTTTCGTTATTTCTATGCAACAGGCCAGGGTCTGCCAAGGATTTTCTGATGTTTTCCACCACTGCCGTCCGGTCAAAGGATAGTCTGCCGAATCTAGAATTTCGGACATAATTTCTTCAGCATAGAGTAATCGTTCCCGGACGGAATCTCTCTTTTTCAAACCGGTAAGGTTAATGCAGTGTAATTTTAACCAACTAAATCCATCGATTCCTAAAGGCTGCGGTTGATCAAATATCAATAGACAGCGAGCCATGTCTGAGCCTAAGTGATTAAGATGTGGGGGCACTGGATAGACACGACCTCTAAAGTCCATGTTGTGTGGTAGCCAAAATACTTTGCGCCGGTACTAAAGGCAATTGAAAGACGATAAAGATTTTGCGATAGAAATTAAATTACTCACATGGTTAGCCAAAGACAATTTGTAAAGCGCATCGCACCATAAACTATACATTTCAGCCTGTTTACGTCTGCGAATCATTTTCTCTTTAAAAAGCTTATCTCGTTCTGCATTCGTTGCATTCGTATTATCCATCACAGATGTACTTGGTAACGGTGGCAAAGAACTGGGCGGTTGAGGGATATCTATTTTATGATCGCCGCCATTTTGGAAAACTTCGATTATAACGTCCAAAATCTTGTTTAGAAAATCATCATTTCTTATTAGCTTTAAAAAAAAAAAAGGAATACAATTCAACGTACATCTTCGTTAACACGCCATGGTATGCTAGCTAATTGATTTAATGAATCTAGAGCAGGATATAAGTTTTGAACGGGCATGTTATTAATACGATCCCATTGCTGAATGGCCTGTTTTTATAAGAGAAATAAATAATAAAATTTCAAAGAGTCAAAATATAATCGCTAACTTGATGGGGTAAACGTATTAAATCGGTCTTGTTAAGAAGGTAGCCACCGTTGTGCGGATTCACCCAGGGTTGTGGAGGGCACAACATTGGCACCAAATTAGAGTCGAATGTCAAAGTTTGTTGACAAGACGCTCTAAATAACCTAAATTAACAAAACTTTTAATTTTTGATTTTTTTAAGGCTGTACATATATTTAACCTGGACAAGATAGGATGTGGTTTAACTTCTTCTTGTACTATCCGTTTTTGATTGCGGAATAACGTGTAGAAAGCGGGTAAAAGATTCGGTTTTGTCTTCTGATATTGTCGCATTACATTCGCGTCAATTTTTATATCACGCATTAAAATATTGTAAAGAAATCGTCCTATACCCCTTACAACATTTGGTGGCCAGTTTGCGTCCTCTAAATCAATAGCGGAACCTGTGGCCCGACTTTGATGCACACATCGTTGCCAGATTTGCCGTGTATTATCGCTGGTATTGCCATGATGCCAAAAGTCACAGTATGAGCTATACACCTCGCCAACTTTCTCCAGGACACCGTTTCTTTTCTTAATTTCCATCTTATACCTATGAAAGAAAATCAAAACTTTAAAATTATATTGAAAATCGTTATAAAATATATAGTTAACCTATCTTGAACCGTTTGGCCCAAGGCTTTATGCAAAGAACTGATTGAGGGACTATACGTTTCAGAGGCTTCACCCAATTTATAGATTTCTTTCGTAAGAATATCTATATAATGCGAGATATCCAATGTTTTTAAATATATATAGCAGCTTATGTAACCCGGTGGCTTATAGCGCATCTGTGCTCTCAATGTATTCATATCACGACTAAGTCCAGCAATTATTTGAGAACGCCAGAGTCCTTCCATTTCTTTGAGCTTTTTTTGCTAATGAAAGAAAAAAAATTTATTATAAAAACGTATGAGAAATACTTTTAATAGTTCCATTACATACACAGTACTCTGTATTGGCGAACTCTTTGTGTACTGCGATGGATTTAATCGATATGTACCCATCGAGTTCAATTTTCAATTGCTCACGAGCCATTTGCTCCAGTTGTTCTTTGCTATAACCACGTTTGGAGTTCATGATTTCTGCTCCTTGCATGAAGTCAGTTGGTATCTCTGACGATCCCATCGGTCTTACATTTTCGTCCAAATGATTTACCAACGGGTTATCGTATAGCATTTTTGGCGGTGTGTAAATTGGTTCAAATTCGGGTAGTATCCTCTGTATAGCATCTAGTGCTATATCCCGCTGGTCATAGGCAAATTGTGACTTATCCATTATTTGATGCAGATTGAATCCCATATCCTTTGCCTTTTCAATATAGTGCCGGATTTTATTCAAATTATCTTCGGTTGGCTCTAAACGCCCCAAGCATTCAAATATGGCCGCAAAGGTTTGTTCATTAAATTTCCGGCCATCCTCTTCAATTATATTAAGACAATTAAACAATTTTTCGAATGCACCCTTCTCTGCGTAACCATGTAATATAATATTGTACAAATCGATTCCGATAAGGTTTTTCAAATGTTTGTATTTGGCTCCTTGACGATAGGCCAAAATAGTCGAGTATGCTCTGTTTATTAAACCAGCCGCAACGCAGACATTTAAATAGGAGTTAAGGTTTATTTTCAACGCCCGCTCTTTTGCTAACAATTCCTGCTCCTTACTTTGAAAAAGGCCTTTTTCGGATCTATAACGATTTAGTGAGGAAAATATTGATGTATTGTACAATGTTTACATCGGTTAATTTTATACCTTGATGTAGATTTTGATTTTCGTTTGACGGTCGTTCCCTTCTTCGATTTAATATCCACCTCTAGATCTTCAGGCGAGAAAAGGGGTACGGATGATTCTAAAAGGTCAACATCTTCTTCTGCCGATAAACTGTTTTGCGCACCGCTAGAAGCACTAAAATGAAAGTCTTATTACCTGTTTGCATTTGCCTACAGTTAAAGTTTTTTCTTTTTACCGATAGGTATTGTCGCTTATATGCGATTGATATTGCGTACTTTCTATAATGTCTTTAATGTTATCAATACTTTTTAGTATGTTTTGAATTTTTTCTGGATTGTTTAACAATTGCTGGTCTATGATATCTGATTTTTCCCCTCCAATAAATATCATTGGAATATCGTCATAATTGCCCGATTCAATCAGAGTCGGATTTAATAAATCCATATTAAATTTTCGATATTCTGTAGGCTGATTTAAGCATTTGGACGTCTGGGTTTTTGGTTTTAATCGTTTATTTTTGATTTTTTGAATAATTTCTTTATCTATTTTTAGAATAAATTCTTGCAATTTTTTTGATTTTAAACGTTTAACACGGTTTTTACGTTCACTGGCGGCATTATTGGTTACTGATAATTAAGAAAATTCGTATTCAAATTAGGTGTTAAATGTATTTTGAATTTCACTTACCTTCCAAAAGTTCAACGTATGTTGCTTTACGCTTTTTCCGTTTTCTTACTTTTTGATCCAAGGTCTCCGTGTTAGTGGAAACAGTTGACTGCGAACGCATGGAATTTGATAAATCGGCTGTAATAACATAAAATCAAGTACGTATGTATGAAATCATTTAATTATATATATATACATATATAACTTGTTTCTTACCATTAGCATTTTTATGGTTTTTTAGTAATCCATGCCATTGGCAATATATGGCTTTTTGATCTTCTCCATTAAGGAATGATTTTAATTTTGTAGGCTGCAGTAACAGTGTATTTTCTCTATATGGCATTCTTGAGCCAATGATATATCTGACCGCGTGTTGTTGTTGGCAAAGGGCAAATTTTATATTTTCCACTGTTACACGTTTAATCGTCAACAAACGATACATTGTTAAATTAGAAAATAGTTTCACAACGCTATAGTAACAAGATTTATGGATTATATACTATTTTTTTTAAATTTTAATAAAACTTTTTCTTGCATAACCATAAACTCCATCAAATTCTTATATGTTCGCGAGTGGAAAGAAGCAAAAAAAAGAAAAATCAAAACATTATATTAGCCGATAATCACATGGCTGTTAATAAGAACACTTTCCAAGTCAGCTGTAGGAAAATAACAATTCACAATAACAACAAAATGTTATTGAAAATTCGTTTAAAAGATCACTATTTTTGCAACTGTGTATTTCATACTAGAAAAGCAGTACCGTGTGTATATATCACATATATATACATATCTATATATATAATATATGCTATTATTACTTTTTAAAATCTTCAGTATCACTTATTCGGATTTATGGTTCTTGTTCTTCTTGTTCAATAATAACATTTAAAAGCAGAAACTCTATATTGATATATATATACGAAATATTGTATGTTAAATGATAAAATTGTTTCAGGGAATCAGCTTAGTTTGTTATTAAAAGAAAAATTTATATAATTATGTTTATTCTTTGAAAAATTTATATGGGGGAATTTACATTTTAGGCTAACTTGTAAAATTAAATAAGTTTAGTTCGCGTATCTTTTAAAACACTAAACATCTAGAGGAGATGATAGAAGAGCAAAAGCGACCAAGTCAAGGAAAAAGAATCGGGAACAATCAGGAAACCATTAAAAAGAATAACAAGTTCTTTTATATATATTTTTATATATATTAATAAAGCTATTTTAAATATATAATAAAGCTATTATATAGATAAAGCTATTTATATTTAAATATAAATTATATAAATTAATATACACCAACAGGAAGGATTACCCCGAAACAAGTTCATGATGAAGATATTTATTTTGAAAAACAAAACGATATAAACAAAGTGGGTTTCCTTTTCGTTTTCTTTCTAAACTAACTACTCAAACGAGAGATAGATTTTTACAAATTGTTCCTTTTTATTATTATTAAATGAATTCTAAGAGTAAAGTCTTAAAGCATTAGCATCTAAAACTTAATTAAAAATTCTATCACACTTGAGATTCGAACCCACGACCATTAAGTTGCTAGTTGAGATTCAATGCCTTCGGTCACTTAGATGGATGGTTCCTTTATGATATGAAAATATTGTTGTTGTCGTAATTGGTGATGCATTCTTTTTTGGGCCCTTGATTGTAAACGTCATCATAAGTGCGATAAATTCGTCATTTGCATGTTCATCGTACCTTGATAGTAAAATTAGATGAACACTTGCTATATACATTTACATTAAACGATTAAGAAGAAACAAATTGAGAAAATATATAACAGTAAGTTCCAAAGATGGTAAATTTAATTAAATTTTGCCATTAAATTGAGCAAAAAGTTTTCATTATCTATAAAGGACTTAATTAAAAACCAAATACATTTTCTTCATCTTCAGTTATGATGATCAAGTGATTCCCTTTAGCATGTTTCTCTGTCAAGTTTTTCGGTACTAAAATCAACTATGTAGGCTCGTTGTAGTTATATAAACCGTATCATAAGAATAATTATAGTTTTTTTGCGAATTTTTTTTTTTTTTTTTTTTGTATATTGCTTTACAATGGACTAAGCTGATTAAACTAATGACAATTGTGACTTATATGTCCAGATGTCAGAATATAATGATTATTTACAGTATATATATATTCAAAATAAATGAAATGAGTATTTCATTCATTGATGATTAATCTGTGATTCTATTTCATCCTTCAGATGCATATATTCCGTGCGATCGCCGGAAAAGAAAAGTGCCTGCAGAAGTTCAACACTCATCTGGGAAGGCATACGATACCATTAATCGTTATTTGGGATGTAGGTAATTTAATAAATTTGGTCATTTTTCAATTTTATAAAATTTTTATATTCCTTATATGGACAACGTAGACAATATAGCTTAAATCGATTCAGAATCATTTTCTTCATAGATTGGTATAATAAAAGGCAAGGCCAATATTAAGCTCTTCTGCGTATCACATACGTCTAAATAAACTTAATATACCTTGTACTAGAAGTGGTGTAGGTTATAATAAAAGAATCTTAAAAATGGGTTAAAAAGTGTTAACCTTCATTTTAATCATAGTCTTGAAGTTGTCGAGCACGCCTAATGATTGTTAGACACGCCATCTCCTCCTAATATACTATCAATGTAATCAATAATATATGTTAATTGATAATCAATTTTTTAATTAAAGAAAAGCAATAAATTTTTATTATGAAAATAAACGATTTTTTTTGTTTCGATATATGTGTCCGCCCTTTTATAGCCAAGCTCTAGATGACTAGAAGCTCTTTAATTTATTGGCATTTTCTTTTAATAAGAAAAAGTAAACATTAAGTGAATGATGATTTGCAAGCACCCTGTTAGGTTAGGAATATCTATGGTAAGGGAATCCTCTGACAGGAGCTATGCTGGACTTCTTTGTTACCGTTCTTTTCTTTTTTGTTTTCGTGTTTTGTATTCCCTTGCGATCCCTTCATTTATATGAAAATTATGATCCTTTTAGTAAAAGCAAGAAGCAATACGGATGTAAAATAAGGAATAAATATCCTCTATCCGTTTTGTATAGTAACCGAAGATGATATCAAAAAATGTACAAAGAAAAAAAATAACTACAAATACTATAGTGGTTTGCGTCGGCCCTTAAATACCCTACAACACCCTACAGTTAATCTTATAACGACTCTTCAAAATAACGCATTATATGAAGTGTGGTCAAAAAAGTAGTCAGATCCCAACAATAGCGTTCGTCCTTTACCAAATTCCATCAGAATATCTCAAAACTTGCAAAAAAAAAAAAAAAACAGGTTGCACACAAGAAAAGAAGACAGACAGACAGACGGACAAGCTTAGATTGATTCAGAGTACGATATATACCCTTGTCCTATAAATTGTGTAGAGTGTAATAATAATCTGATTAAAAAAAGAATTTCCTTCCGGATAAGCGGAGACTTGGCCTAAAAGCTGGTACCTAATAGAAAAAAAATGCTTAGTTCATGCATACTTTCCAGAAATTTTTATCGTTTTCGCAACATATTTATACATCGATCGAAGTTTTCACTATTAATTTCATTATTTTCCGAAATATTGTGAATTTCTTGTCGCAATCAATATGTGACGTAGAAACGATCAATTAATGTAGTTTTTCAATTTCTTTTCTTCATCATGTTCGGTCTAAGTCGACATATTTCATATTTTTGGATTCAAATCAGAATTATGAATGATCATCGTAGTCGTTTAACTTTATGTTTAGCGCAAACTATCTTTCACGTTTAACGATTGCTTTAAATAAATAAAAGAAGAGAAAAGAAAATAGAAGAAACGAAAAGAAAAGGAAAGAAAAAAAAAGAAAGGGAAAGAAAAGAAAAGAGAAAAGAAAGGAAACGAAAAGAAAACAAAAAGAAAGTGATAGGGAAGGAAAGGGAAGCTAAGAAAAGTAAAAAAAGATGAAGAAAGAAAAAAGAAAGGAAAAGAGAAGAAAAGAAAGCAAACGAAAATAAAAGAAGAGAAAAGTAAAGGAAAGTAAAGGAAAGAAGTGGAACGAAAAGACAAGGAAAGGAAAGAAAATAAAGGAAGTGATAGGAAAGGAAAGGGAAGCTAACAAAATCAAAAAAAACGTAAAGAAAGTAAAAAAGAATTTCTATACAAATTATTGAGAATATATATGCTTATTCTTTAAAGTCACCAAATTTTACATGCTTATTTTCAGATTCTCAGGCAATTTTTATTGAAAAATGTAAACAAATGTATTCAAACATATTCTCAGATGGTTGGCATTTTTACAAATTATTGAGATTATATATGCGCTTATTCCATAAAGTCACCAAATTTTATACAAAATTTCAATTCAACGCGACACCGTTAAGGGAATAGCGAATGTTTCGCAATACTTCGTTCACGGTTAATCGGTAGGGACAACTCTGAATGTAGAATAAAAATAAACTAACTTTACAATGGGACTCTCAGGTTGCATCTGGTATGTTGATCGTATCGCGATACAGCTCGAGCATGGAAAGTGTAACCATTCCGCAAATAATGCTTTATTTATACACTATTGTATTCTTTTTTTTTATTAAACATTAATTTGTGTGGCTTTCGGTTTGTCCAAGTATACAAATAAAACAATTGTGCCTTATGGCAAACATATTATGTCCATTTTAATGCAATGTGTCAACCGTGTACAATTAAATACTTTCTAAGTACGATTTAATTACAGGCTCATCGCTGCAAAGTGCTTCAAGTATTTCAATACAAACATTTAAAGTAATGCAAAGGCAAATAATTCAACTACAAGTAAGAAAATTATTTTCGGTCGCGACCGAATCTATTAAAAAAGACGTAAGAAAAGGCAAAAAAAAACTAAATTGTCGCATACCACAACACTGGGCGTGTGCGGTTGATTTCACATATTTTCAAGATAATAGTTGAAATTTATATCAGTTTTTGTTGCATAGATGTGTGGGCGTTGTAGGTGTGCCTTTTGATATGTTGGGGTTATAGGTGATATCTTAATTTTCGCGAACGAGAAGAATGTTTACTACACGGTTGGGCAGATGTGCAGATGTACAGATGGGCAGACATACCTAGGAGCAATTCGAGTTCGAAACTGCCCAAAGGTTTATTCACTTGCCTCCGCGTATTTTAAAGGTATTGCAAAATAAAATCAAACCTTAGCACATTATAATATTCGCAAGGCGTGATTAATTTTGGTCATTTTTTTTAACCAGGTACTATAATATTGCCCATGGAACATATGTGCAGATTCTACTACGTTTATGAGCAATGAGCACAAAAACAATTCTCTATTACATTTGAAGGACAGAGATGTTCTCAGTTTATGCAGTATTGTAGGTATGTGCTTCGACCGATTGGGTTCAATACCAACTTACGTGCAATAACTTACAATATTTCTGCCAGAATTGAAGTTGATAGCTTAATTTTTGTAGCCAAGAGAATGTTTACAATAGACGGTCATCCGCAGATGTTTAAATCAATTCAGAGTTTGATGCTGATCAAAAATATATATACCTTGTGTGAGGATTTGTATTGATGGGCTTTGCAAATGTTTTAACGAAAGGATCCCTCACCCTTCGATGATGGGTGTAAAAAGAGTTGCACCTAGCATGGAATTTGATATGCCAGACTTTTTATATTCATTGCGATAAATTGTGTCCACCGAGTACAATTAAATACTTTCTAAGGAGGATTTAATTACAGGCTTATTACTGCAAAGTACTTCAAGTATTTCAATGCGTTCATTTAAAGAAATCCAAATCTATATATTTGTATATATATATGCACTGCAGTAACAAAAAAAAAAGAGAGAAAAGAAAGAAAAACCATTTACTCTTGTACGTCTTTATTCGCACTCTTTGCTCCTAGATGAACGTACACTCTGCATATTTTGTTCTCTTTGATTCCGTCGTTCATTCTCTTTGACGGGATCTTTAAAAGCAGAGAAATTTCTGAAAAATGTTGTATTACTTGACTCTGACTGGTGCTGTAAAGTCGTGGCTTTTGAAATTAGAAATATTTAAGAATTTTTTTGAAAAATAATTTCGCATTGAAAATGTAACTGAATGTTACTAAAAGGTTTTTTTTCATAGATATGTTTACACATATATATATATATATATATATATATGTAATTATTGTGCAAAAGGAACTGATTTGAAATTTCAAAAAGAAAGAATTTCTTTTTGTTAAACTATCCATTGAAATAGTAATCGAAAAATAAATTAAAAAAAAATAAATAAATAAATAAATAAATAAAAAAATAAAAGAAAAAAAAAAAAATAACAAGAAAATCACTATAACGATCTTTGCTTTGAAGTAAGTAAAGCAAAAGAAAATATATATAATAATAATAATAACAATAATAATTTGTTATCTATAAGTGTGTGCGTGCGTGCGTGAATGCGTGTTTGATAATAGAGGACTTTCTGAGCTTAATATTTCTAGTTTATCTATTATTTATTCTCTTGTATTTTATTTTCTATTGAATATTTTTCTTTTTTTGTTACGACTATTTCGAATATATAGCAAAAAAAAAAAAGAAAAAAAATCCTATTTGTTTTTGCTGCCTTTCTATTCTTTGAATGGAAATGCAATTTATCAACCTTTTGACCCATTTTAGTTAATATATATTTTATTTATAATGTTTACTTGTATTTATTTATTTATTTATTTATTTTTTTTTTTTGCGATAATTGCTTTTTCAATTTATTTGTTTTTCTTTTTTTTTTCTTCAATAAGAATGTTTTGCATATTTTTTGTGTTGAATATTGCTTTCTGGTGGCAGCTTTCCATGAAATATTTGTATTTTAAATGAAAAAAAATTCATCTCAAATCAAACAAGTATTACGTATTAGCGGCGAAGTTAAAAAGGAATTATTTTCATTTCTTTGTATTTTACACGCAATAATGGATTAAAAAAAAAAAAAAAATTAAAAAAAAAAATGCAGTCCACAAATTGTCTTATAACGAATTTCGTATACCCAACGTATGAGAGATTTTTTTTTTGTTTTTTTTCATATGATAGAAGTTCATTTTTTTCTTTTGACTATGGACCTGCCAGCAGTTGGCAGTTGAAATTTAAATTGGCTCGTAGAAGCTTTTGAAGATGGAAGAAAGATGACCAGTGTCATTTTTTCTCCCTCACTTGATTTCTAAGTAAATATATATATATAAAACACAAAAGTTCAGAATAATTGGGTCGTGGCTCAAATTTAAGAGAAAACAAATAGGTCGTCTACTTAGATTACAATCCAAATGAAAATGAAAAAAAAAGAAATCGTTTCATGGCTTTAGGAGAAAATGTCTGGTATTTCTTCTTGGATTACAATCTCAATATTTTATTGAAAATCTCTTACGTAATCGAAAGAAGAAAGAGAAAAACTTAGTATAACATTTTCATGTTGAACGTAACTCCTCTCAATCAATCATTGTTCTTATGTCCTCACTATCGGATATTGCGCCCTATCTTATGCTTTGAAATTTTAAACTGCCTAGTCGTACAAACCCAGTACGCCAATCCATGTCTGTCTGTTAACTGATATATGAGATCAAACTTTTTTTAAAAAAATTTACTTTGTTTAGAAAAACAATCGTGATTTTGCTGCTTCTTGCTTCTAATTTGAATTTCTTCATGTTACCGCTCTGGCCATTACAAATGCATCAACAAATTTATATTATTTAATATTACGTATGCTCTGATGGCGGGTACAAAAGAACAAATAAAAATTGATAATTTTCTTAGCGTATGAGTATAGATGCGTACAGACAAAAACGAGTCAAACTATTTCTAGGTCTTGTAATCTGTCTTAATTAAAAATTGATTATCTGCCCAGTGTGATAAAAGTATTTATTCAAATTCATCGATCATTATCTTATATATATATCTAGATAAACATATATTTATAGGTAAAAGAATTTTTTACAATAGACTTTATTTTGCAAAAAATTGAAAAACTAATTTCATGATCTTTGTTCGCTTTCTTCCTTGACCGGGGATCTTTATCGCTGCACATTGGCAGTCTTAAATTGTAGATGTAGAGATGTACGATTTTGCAGAAACTACGCCAATGGTTTAATTAGGCCCTAGCACCATTTGTTTGTACAAGGTATATAAAATCTGTGCGGTCGTATGTAATACTCGGAATGTCTTAACTTAGGTGCACATATTATTATACCGATCGATTCAGAGCCTAAGATTGTCTGACCGTTGGTCCATGTATTTTTGTGTCCAACCCATAAGTCGCAATTTTTGAGATATGTTAATGACATTTGGTACAGTGACGCGCTCTGACTTGAAAATGCTTCGGATTGATCCATTTTTTCGATCATTCCCCATATAACGTTTTTTCAAAATAAATTTGCAATTTTAAAACTTTTTGATAAAATCGGCTGAGTAACAGTATTTTAGTATAAAAAATCTAGTTCGGCTGAAGCAATTTCTTCAACCCGCTCTCACATAGTTTAATATTTCATGATGAAAATTGATTCGCAATAGTAAATCTACAAAGAAATGAACGTTACCGAGTTTGGACTACGTAGGTCCACTTTTTGGATACCTCTGCATATAAGGATTACCAGGATATGTAGACCCTTATATACCAAAACCGTCTATTCGTTAATATTGTAAATTGTATTGAAAATTCGTTTACGATAGCAAGTTGACATAAAAATCAAGTGAAATAAATTTGAACCACATGGATCTATTTCTTGGACTCTGCTCCACATAAGATTTCTCATAAATTGTAAGAACTTCAGGAGAAGGCTTTTTTCAAATTTCATAACGGTAGGGAATTGGGGCCGCCTGGATTTATTTTTTAGACCCCAAGAATTATTAAAAAAAGAATCGGGGCATTATCAAAGAATATCTCTCAAGTACGGTCAATGAATATTCAGCTGTAAAAGAATTTGTAACTCTCCAAAAATAGAAAATGGATGAAGAATGGGCGGATAGCCATTAGCTTAAAAAAAATTTCAAGGTCAATCTATAGCAAAGAGAATCTAAGAACATCATTGCTGCCCGGTAGACAGAAAAAGGCTTCAACATACGCCAATGGCTTTGTGGGAAATTATCAGTAAAGATACGAATTTATAGAAAATTGCATGGATGCTATCAGATCATTTATAACGCCTTGGATGAGTGATAATAAGGTGTTGTAGTAAGTTGATCAAAGGCAATAAGTTTTTAGCGAATTTCCGAAATTTCGTCTGTACAATTGTCTGGTTATCGTTTATCGTTGCCCATATTTTCTTAAGTTCCACCTTATATATAACTATTTAAATTAGTATAAGAGAAGATTTATTAACTATTAAGGGCGTGTTTGTAGATGGATGAAAAAATTTGCCCAACCCTGGTTTAGACGTTTTGCTAAATAATAATATTTGCTCTTACGTTTAGACTAATAATTTTATGGATATATTATGGACAAGCTATGCCCGTATCTGTATTAAGTTTCCAGGGTTGCGTAGTTGAGGCTGTCCGAGCATTCCATCAATAGACAAACGAATGGGGAGAGGCGTAGATATTAATTGGCCTAAAATCGTAAGCTTATCACGAAAATATCCATCTTACGGTAGATGAGAAACGGTTCTTGAGAGACAAATCTATTTATATGCTACATCACTGGTGGTGCAAAGTCATATTAAGTTCGCGCGGATGTATACAATCGTCAGAAGGACTTGCCCCATCTTTTATTCTACCGATCGATTCAGAATCACCTTCGGGACAGACCTGTGCTTGTCTGGGTGTCTGTCTATCTGTCTGTCCTTTTTTTTCTTGTTTTCAACCAAAAGTTCGCAGATTGTGAGATATTTTGATGAAATGTGTTGTGCCTACATGTCCTGGCCCAAGGAAGAACGCTATTGACTATGGTCCGGATTGAGCCACAGCAACTTCCCGTATAACACCTTATTTCGAAAAGTCGTCCTATGAATAACTGTATGAAGCGAAGTAGTGCAAGATATATATATGGTGGGCCGCGAATGAATCGAATTAGTTCCCAATACAGTTAAAATATATAAGCAGCCTTAAAAAGCAATTCAATTTTGGGCAAATGCGATCTGTACTATATTTTCAACTGAAGTATGTCGCAAAAGTGGTCTCTATCGGTTAGAATATTAAAGTCGACTTTGCGTGAAAATATTTCCATAAGGGGATAATAATTCAAATAATCTTTCAATGCAATTCAGTTTTTTAATGTTAACCTTTTGCTATTAGAATATGTTATTTAAAAAATTATATAACGATCATATCAAATGAAAATCTATAAAACTCATGGCTATTGCTTTAATACCTACCTTTCTTACCTTCTGCTTATTTTCACTAGAAAAAAGCGACGAAAAGAAAACAAAAACAAATGAGAAAAATGCTAGAAACGATGGAAAAATAAACATTTTTGTTTATATGTGCATGTGCGCGTATTAATATTTAATAAAATTTTTCAACAATTAAAACAAGGAAAGAGAAAAAAGCGAAAATAAAACTCATAAATTTCCTCATTCAATCAGCCGCCAACTTAAATCTTATGTAAACACAAAAGATTTGTAGACAGATCAATATATAGTATAACGTTTATGTGTACGCACATCCGTATATATATATATATATATATAGGTTTAATAGATTTCTTGAAACAATAGCAAAATAAAGAGGATATTTACCTAAGGCGAAATGCTTGAGTGCTGGATAATAGGCATACAAATGAGCGCACAAAGGCAGTCATGGCAACATGTATATATATACATAAATATATATATTTATATAAAAATTGAAATGCAAACATATAATCGCATATGGTAGGCTGTTTAATAGTTCTTCTCAATGTTTATTATTATTTTCGAAATTTAAATCAGCCCGTTCAGCCCTTTCGCATAAAATAAACAAACATAATATAGCCGGGAAAGAGCGAGCGTTAAATGCCTTCCATTACTTTATCTATTGGAAAACAAATTTCAGAATTGAAAAAATTCGAATTTTTACTTTTATAAAAATGATTTCTTGCAAAAAAATTTCATATGGGAATCGATCTTATGACCTAAATTGGTACGTTTTGTTAATTATGTGTTATATGGAAAGTGACTGAAAAAGTGGTCCGAACCGAGTTATTTTCAATAGCGTTTGTCCTTGGGCGTAAACACGTCGGTGTAGGAACTTTCATGAATATATTTTAAAAGTTGCGATCTCTACGGTGAACATTAGAAAGCAGGATGAACGGACAGACGGACGGACAAGTTTAAATCGATTCAGAAAGTGATTCTGATCGGTATAGTGAGAAGAGGAACTATCTAAAGTGTTTCTGGGTGTTGCATACCCATACACACTTGTACCAGAAGTGCTGTAGTGTATAAATAGTAATATGTACACAATATGTATACAATGAATCCATTTTTGGAGCATATTCCCTTATAAAAATTCTTACAAAAAATTATCCTTTCTGTAGTAATAAAATTCATTTTCAGTACCTTATGATGAAAATTGACAGAAAATTGACAGAAGTAATTTGGGACTCCGATCCACCTACATGCATTTCATGACAAATATATGGAAAAAATAAAAAGTTTTTCAACCAAAAAAAAATTAAATTTAGTAAAAAATTTATTTTAATGTGAATCGCATTACTATTACCTTTTGGTCCCCTTCCCATGTAAGGAAACACAAGGCTGGTCGTTCGCATTTTATAATGAACCTAGAAGAAGAATTGTATTGAAGAGAGATTTTTAGAAAGTTCAATGGTCGACCCTGACCGATTATAATGTTTTAAGTTGTTTGCAAATAAATTTAGAAAAATGATCCTATTTTCAGTCAACAAAGGTGTGGTGATCATAGCTCTCACGTGTTGCATGTTATGGAAACCTTAAACCGATTACATTATTTATATAATAATCTTGCAGTGGAATACTCATGTTTTTTACATTTTCATCGATTTTTTTTTTAGCAAGAATTGTGCTTTAGAGATGCAATGTTTCATTGATAATTTTTTGTGATCAATGGAAATTGTAATAACAGACCATGCTTAGGAAGTTTAACAAACTAAATGGAACGCTTAGTAAAAGCCTTATTTTTCAATGTCTTTTAATAACACTTGATACTTACGATCCTTATTTGAAGTGAAGTTTTTTCATTTCTTTTATGGTAATGTGATGTGCCTCTGAACATGAACACTCATAGGCGTATACATATAGGCAAAATGCGGAAAAATGCATTGATTAAATTTAGAAGAACAATAATTAGTGATTGATTGATTATCGAACAACTCTTTCAATTCTTTCTCTTAACGAACTAAACCGTTCCGCAACATGTGCATGATTTATTGATGCAAACAAGCGGCAACCGGGAGTTTATGATTAAACCTCATTGACCAATACTTTGCAGTCAAGTGCTTTCAAAGCGATACGAGGCAATTCTGCTATATAGCATAGCTAGCATTGTCCTGAAAAAGAATGACCTTGTAACGTATATTTTTGGTATTAACGAACGGCCGGATTGTTCTTAATAGCATTTCGTATTAAAAATTTCGTCAGGCTTTAAGCACTCATATTAGACAGCATCCTTCTGGTGCCAACAAACAAACAAAGACTATCGTCTGCCTACCCAAACGAATCTATTTTCTTATGGGTGAGAATGATGAGTCTATGCTTAATTAAGTTTTTTTTTCCGCTCGAGCCCTCAATAAAAATGCAAAAACGACTTTCTGTTGCGTGGGTCGACCAATATAAATAAAAAAATAAAATCCAGCTAATATTTAATGCTTGTACTGTAAGTAAATCAACCATTGACAATTTGGATCATATATATCTATTTCCTATATCGCACCATATTTGTAGGGTTTCTCAGGGTGATAAAGACATAATTTGTGGTTTGCTATGAGTAATATCTCTAAAAAATAAAATCTTTTAAAAGTAAATTAAGTTTTCTAAATTTAAACCGCCAAGGCCAAGATGACGGCTTTCATGAAAATAATGCATTTACCTAAAAGCAATGAATACTTTGTGCTGCATTATGAATTAAGCGAGGACGTGTAAGGTATCTAATAATCAGCCTTGTCCGACTATTTCATTTTTTAAATTTTTGTTTTTTTTATCTATCGTGAGCGGACGAGTAAGCTAAGCTTCTTGATTAACAACTCAGTGATCGCTGGTTCGAATCTCAAATGCGGTAGAGTTTTGAATAAAGCCGCTAGCCTTAGATGCAAGTTCTTCAAGAATTTAGTCTTTGAATTCATTTCTCTGGCTAAATTAATTATAATAAGAATAATAATTAAAATTGTTTTTTTTTTATTTTACAAATTAATTGAATTATGATTATTATGGTTTTTGTGATTAAATTGCTAGTTTTATGTTTAATTTATATATATATATATATATATATATATTTTTTTTTTTATTGCACCATATATCACTTGTCCCTAATTTCATATAATTTTTCTTATATATATATATATATATATTTTATTTTTATTGGATCCTAGATCACTTCTCCCTAATTTCGTATAATTTCTCTTAGTCCTTTGCCCAAAGGGAGAGATTTTTTACTTGAGATTTCTGTAAACGATTTCTTAGTCGCTCTTAGTCATAATAGGCGCCAAAAAGGCTTTGTTGGCGGATACAAAATAAAAATGATCAAATTTTTCAAACACATAACGATGCCAATTGCATTATATAGAAATTGAAACTAAATTTAAATTTTAATGTCTTTCAAGTGAACTAGATTTTGTTATAATTATTGACTGCGTTTGTGCTGCTTGCTCTAAGATCTATGTTTGCATTTAAAATAAAAATGCACTCTGTGTGTGTTTGTGTTTTTTTTTTTTAATTTATTTATAAAGTGATCGGTTTAATTTAAAAGAGTTTTAGCAAAAAAAAAAAAAAAAAAAATTATTTTGTTTAAAAAAATAAAAAAAAAAAAAAATAGATGAAAGAAAGAAGAACCAAAAATTTATTTAGAAAAACATTTTCATTTTTTTTTTTTTTTTTATCTTTATTTCATTGCAGACTATTGTAATTTAAAAATATTGATGTTTCCTTCAAGTCAAAACAACGGCCAATAACTATAGATTACTTACTGTTGTTCGCTCTCGAGTCTTTTGCTAACAATCGATTGAAAAATGGACCGTTGCGCTGCTTTGGTACTTTTCATTTTAATTGGTTCAAGTCTAATCGATTTAAGAACTTGTGCGGTAACGTAAGTAATTTAACCTTACACATGCATGCCTGCATGCAATCATACGCAATATTAATAATAATTATGGATTATGAATGAATTTTGAAACAGTTTTTTATTTTTCAAAAAGAAAAAAAATTATATATGGAAATAATTTTCCATAAACTTAAGAAAAAATGAGAAAAACGGGATAGATAAAAAATTAATTGAAAATTTAAATTATTCAATGTTGCTATTGGGGAAGAGTTCGTTGTCTGGCATATTCGATTCTGTTTTCATTTTTATTTTTAAAGAATTGTAAACAGAGCCAATGCCATTACAAATATCAAATTATACTCTAGCATAATACATGTATGTATGTGGGGTCATCCATTTTGGTGGTTCCGAAAGTAAACGCAAACGCAACTCTTTTCTGATTAAGATTTGCAATCATTTCTATCCGAAACGATGTAAGCTTGTCCGTCCTTGGGCGACCTGTAAGCCACAATTTTTAAGATATTCTGGTGAAATTTGGTATTATAGCCCACGAACCAACTTTATTGGGAATGTATTCAATCGGACCACTGACCATATAATATCTTCTCTTGAAAAGTCGTTATATGAGTAGACTATATTAAGCGAGAAATATACTGTATTTAATGGTGGGCCATGTCCCATCATACTGTTTTACTTGTTTTTCAATATATTGTTTAGACCATGCCATTGTTTGTGGACCATGCCATGCATATATAGTTATATAGTGTACATAAACAGTAAATACAGGATTACGTTTCGTGAGACAAGCTAATGATTGCCCTGAAAGTAGATTTTAGCTGCAGGAACCCCTTTTCGAGAGACTTTTGATCAATTGAAAGCATGAGTGTTTCATAAGATTCTAATTGATGAAGAAGCGGGATGAAGATCAGATTTGATTAAATGGTTTCACAAATACGGATTATTGGTCCTTTGGTGTGAAGAAGGCAGACCTGACATTCCTGCGGGACTTTTACATTTACAAAAATTAACTTTAGGGCGAAGTTTGAAGCCATTGCAGTTATCTTCAGTGGAGAACGCTACAGAAATATGATAACTGATTTTTTGTGGCGCAAAGGAGATGATTGTGTGATATGTGCATACAATATGTATATGTGCAACATGGATATATCTCGTGGCACCACCAAAGTGTAATAACAATGCGATCTCAAAAAATACCTACGTGAGCTTGCCGCGAATATCATGCGATATAACCCTATTGGACTTGATACTTTAAGTAGTACTGTAGTTGTTGTTGTTTTACTCCATTACACCACAAATTCTCAATGATCTAATTGACCAAGATTATTCGTACAATTAGTGAAATAAGACCAAATTTATGTAAAAAAATGGCAAAAGATTATTTTCCCGGTTTGAATTTTCACGGATGTTCACAGTCATCCAAGTTCAAATGCTATAAACCCATATCTAAAGTAAGAGAAAACTCATGGTGGTTTCGTTTAGTGTTTATTGTAAATTAAAAAGAAAAACGAAAAACCCTTTTTGATGACCCTATGCGTCTATTTGCTTTCCACGCAGCGTCAATTAAAATGCGAATGCCCTGCGTAATAAAAAACAAAAATAAAAAAAAGAAAAGGAAAACTTATAAAAAGAACAAATTTATGCGTATACAACTCTTACTCTTTTACTTATGATCTAAATACTTGGGACATTGAGTATGATTCACTTAAGCATAGTTCGCTTTTACAATCACAAGTCAACTGAGTCGATTGCAAAGTTTGCAATTCTTGCTTTTTCGCAATCTTTGTGAGCAAAGGCTCACTTACTTTTTTATAACCATTGTTGGTGAAGGCAGTATGCAATACTCTATGAGGTTTCCTTATTTATTCACAGTTCTTAGGCTATCTGCTTTTACAACAAATTTTTCTTTGCTTATGTGGGTTATATTGGGTTGTTTGAAAAATTTCGAATTATTTCTGCGAAAATGTGATTGATTTTTTAAAATAATTGAAGTAAAGAGGCCAATTTTATTCCGGGTAATGAGCTAACGAATTTCATTGTTATCATTACCCGTATTTCCCAGCCATAGTAAGAAAGACTCAAAAGCATTCCACCATAAAACAATTAATGCTTTGAAAGGTAAAGCGATTTATTCAGACGACGTGAAAATTAAAAGTTTGGAGCCCTGCTTAAGATTCAGAATTACTTCTGAATCGATTTAAGCTTGTCCGTCCGTCTGTCCCCTTCGCTGTCTTGTTTTTATTTTTGTATTTAACCGACAACTCGCAAATTTTCAGATATTTTGATGAAATTTGGTTCACTAAAGTGCTTTGATCCAAGTATGAACGCTATAGGCAGTGATTTGGATCGGCCAACTTTCCACCTTGTACCGAAAAATTGTTATACGAAAAAAAATATTAAATTTTCAAAATTTTTCAACAAAACTCGCGTACTTCAACATTCTAAATTGAATATGAAAAATTTTTTTGTTTCAGTTGGTGGAATTTTTGGCTTATATGTCAAAAAAGCTTCATAAAGAAAATTGTTGATTCATAGTGGCAGTTTAGCAAAAAAATTCCCGCTAGGGAATTTGGATTACATAGCTCGATATTTTAGACGCTAGCTTATATAAACAAGCAAGGAAGCGCTTCGATGGAAACTGGAAAATGATGTAATTTTTGGGAAGTAAATTAAGTTTGCGAAATTTTGATCACGCCATTTGATTTTATGTGCATTCGCCAATGGGTGGATGGACGGACTTTTATGAAAAGTACGCTTTTGCAAAACGCAATGTGCAATGTTTCAAAGTGAATGAATAATTGTACTAGGTGAAGCGGTATAGGGTATCTGATGATAGGGTATGCTCGCCTATAATGTTTTCAATTGTTTTTTATTTCAAATTCAAATATTTTTTGTAAATCTTATCAAAGTGTTTTACAATTTCAATGCAAAAATAGCGAGAATCGCGATCAACCGACGCTATTCCTTATTAAAGCACGAAGGGTAGCGAAACTTCGTTCCAAAGTAAATTTTCAAATTTTTACTCTTGGAATGACAAATCATCTCCCTACAAAATATTAAATACCCTAAGAAGAACACACGCATAAGAGTACATACGATGCCAGTCTAAGCAATAAAAAATTTTTTATTTAACTAAAGATAGAATTTTTTTTAAAAGCAAAAGAATAAAAACCATCAGCTACATGTTGTAAAGTCTTATTATATAATAGCGCCTTTAATCGCTTGAGTATTAAAAGGGCAGCAAAGCGATCATATTAGACACATCGATATAAGTGCTTTGCGCAGAGGCATTTAGAAGGCTAATGTAATATATATTTGTATGCATTAAGAGTGTGCATTATGGAGAAGATAAATATTGTAAAGGGGTTTTCTTATTTCTTATGGAAACCATTGATGAGTAAGTATTGTAATTTCCTCATGAAATTCGTAACAAACAGAAATTATCGATCATTTCTAGGTCTTTAAGAAAATTTGAAAGGAATTTTTTTTTTTTCTGGAACAGAAATGAGATTTGAAAAACGAATTTAATCCCCCCTCGAATATGTCCACAACAGATGAATTATTAAGAAATCGAATAATAAATGAGTTCAATTTGCTCTAGGATAGGCCGTCAAATTCGCAAATAGATGCCGAAAGAACATTCATTAGGCTGTAAAGACGAACCGATGGCAAGACATGTGGGCGAAAGGGGAAACTAAGAGGAAGAGAGGGAGGAAAACAGGAAAAGATAGGCGGATTACGAAAAGGGGATAGACTAAAAACTATCTGTATTCGATGAAATTAAGGGCGAATAAGTGAGCGGACGAATAGCCTGCGTTCATGGCTACCATAGGTTAGGATTACATGAACGAGACGAAAAATATCGCAATCATCGTAGTTTATGAGAATATTTAGCTCGATTTTCCAATTCATTTGCATGAGATAAGGGAAACAATTTAACTGAACGAATCGGAACAGTTCAAATGAAGCAACGTATGAAAGTGTGGTGTCATTGATATTCCTACTTGCAGGTATCCAAGGCGGATACAATTTTTTTTATTTATTTATTTATTTTTTAATACTTTTTTTTTTTTTTTTTTTTATATGGTTTTGAAAGTGGGAGACTGCAAGTACTTATACATGGACAGATTATTATCTGCTTTTGACAGTAATTTTCTTTAACTTCACAAAATTTTAAAAATAAGTAAGTAATACATGCCTTTAGTGCTGATATATTTTTATAAGCACACATGCACTTCACTTTTTTCAATCTTCAATGAATGATTATGTCGTATATATTACGCATACATATATAAATAAATATTTATACTTATTTATATGCATAAATAATAATATGCAAGAAGCAAATGAAGCGTTTAGAGGTAAAAAGTTTAACATTCTTATGCATTAAGAACATTCATTATATTTTGAAAAAGTAGATCCTCTTTGAATAGATGCGTTTGTTCTTCCATCTATTTTTAGTTCCACTTTCTATGCTTGTTTGTTTGTTTGTTTTTTTTTTTAAACTACGCTGCTATATGCAGTCATAATCAATGTTGACAGTAAAAAAAAAAAAATGTATTTTGAATAGCTTTGGAAAATTACAAAAAAAAAAACAAATCGAATTGATCTAATTACTTACGCAAACATTTGGAAGCCTTTGGCTTCCAGCTAATATTCGCTTGTTCTACTAGACAAAAGCGTATGTGGACCATTTTTTACAAGGGATGAAAGCATTTTAATTTTTGCAACCCCCAGCAGAAAGCTTCAGAGATCTTATAATATATAATCTCGATCATCGTGTCCTTCTTTACGTTTGTCCATTTGCGATAGGTTTACGTGCAACATTCTCCCGTTAGCAGAATTTATGACATATCGATGTCAAGTTTGGTAGAAAAAAATTTTAGAAGTTCTTACACTAAAGTGGGCATTGAATCGATCAAAGGTAACGCCTACAATGCAATGTAAACAGAAAAAATCTGCGCTTCCTGAGCTCTTGGCTTAATCAACTTCAATGGACTACTGCGATAAGACTTTTCACGTGTACTCCATAGGTGATCCTATATCCAAAAATAAGCAACGCCCGCCAGATATTATTAAGAATGAAACTTTAGGTGGTGGATGTAAAAAATTCGGAATTTTCTTACTTTCTTAACTTGCTCCTATAATGCGAGAACAGACTACTTTGAAATCTAAGGCCTGCACCTGCCTTGACGGCTTAAACAGGCAAAAACCAGAGGTTCGTAGGGTAATTTACTTACGTTTATCGATACGCCGCAGTATGTAAGAAAATCACTGAGAGCGCCTATACCATAACTGAAGTACCAGACATAAAGGGTTGAGTTTGGTCTACAGCCTCCTTTTTGGGTAAAGCAAGCATCTGTATCTGTAATTATTTAATGATCCCGCATTTGGAGAGACCACAACCAGCACGTCTCCTCTTCGAAGGTCCGCCCTCAGTGGTTAGGTAAGAAGACATTGGTCGCATTGTTACTGAAAGTAATCCTACTTGGCAACCTAACTCCCGTGGATCCAACGATATTTCCATCGTCTACAGTACATTACGATTGTCGGCATTACGCGTGCCATTATTGCACACTCTTGTATCCGATTTACTCCACTTTTTGGATGGCCACGTAATCTTTCGCCCATGGATTTTAATGTACATGAAGCGAAAGCACAAAAATGTTTCACAGCTTTAGAAAGCTCTAGAATAAAACATGTAGAAGCATTGTAATGGGTCACGGCCCACCATTAAATACCCTATACCACTTCGCTTAAAGCAGTTGTTCATACAACGAGTTTTTAAGATAAGTTGTTATATCGGATCCGAGCCATTTTCAATAGCGCTCGTCCTTGCATCAAACTTCATTAAAATGTTTCAAAAGATATCCTGATAAAAGAATGAAATTTTAATATTGAGTAGCAGTGCCCGTTTTTGTCCAGTTGTACTAGCACTACAAGGCCACCCATACAAGAATATGTTGTGCTGCGTTCGTGTCCTTCGACCAATTTGGCTCAGTTTCGATGAAAACCTGCGGGCAAGAACTTCCAATCCTTATTCCAAACTTGAAACCGACTGCTGTATGTTCGCGATCAAGAGAATGTTTACCACAGACCATGCCCAGACAGAAAGCAAGCGTTTTAACAAAATCAATATACCCTTCATCCTTCGGTGATGCGTATAAAAAGTGTAAAAATTATATATCAAGCGGACAGGCTACGAAAACGATCAAAAAAAAAAAATGTCCTAATAATGTTCTTTTTTGAAATTTGTTCATTTTATTTCAGCTACGAAGATATACGTGGTACGTTACAATCTTTGATTTATTCTTATAATCAATTGGATAATAAATTGGAAAGACATGAGCATCGTGAACGGGCTTTAGGTGAGCTCATGAAAAAAGGTATGATTGCCTTACAGAAGGGACAAAAAAATTTGGAACCTATCAATGGCATATTCGCGCGGTTAGACGAAAGAGTTAGTCAAATTGAAACCATGTTGATAGCAGTAAGTTATATATACCAAAAAAAAAAAAAAAAAAATTTAAGTCCGAGGATTATAAAAATTTATTGTACAGCAAGAGGAAAAATACAATATTCAAACGGAAAAATTGGGTGAGGCTTTGGATCATATCTTTAAATGGATGCGAGATAATGACGAATGTATGAAACGACCACCAATGCCAGCTATGAGTAGCTTACAAGAACCAAAACCCACTGAACCGAATATACCACCGGAGTTCGTTAAACAACAAGAGGATATTAATAGACAAATGATGGGCGAAATGAAAGATTTATCATTGGGCATCGCTAACTTATTGGACATTACGCGAAGTATGATGGAGCAAACCGAGGTGGCCTTTAAAAGTAGTCCTGCTACACAAGAGATGCTTTCGAAAATTGAAGATCGTTTAATAAGCTACAGTGTAATGACACCGCCGCCACCATTGATTTTAGAACCTTTGAATAATACTGAATTTGAAAATAAAGTTTTCAAAATTTTGGACGAAGTTAATACCGGCATAACGGAATTAAAAGAAATGCCCCGACAACCAGAAGGTCTCTCCTTAACAGATAAACAATTCATAGAGACGTTAAACAATGAAACTTTACATGCCTTAGAACATACTAAAAATGAGATTCGGAAAGCTCATGACGAAGGTAAGTAAATTGTATACGAATTTTCCAAGAGTTTTGAGAAAGTCAAATACATTTTATTTTATTTCTTATAGAAACTGCTGAAAAGATGAATCTTATGAAATTCATAGAAAGTCTAAACAATGAAACTTTGCATGCCTTAGAATATGCTAAAAATGACGTTAAGAATGCTAATGAAAAAGGTAATATCGCGAGATATTTTCAAAAACAATTTCTTGATAAAGAACCCATTTTCGATTTTTAGCGTTTTCTGAAACGGCAGATATTATTAAAGAGACAGAGCGAACTTTAAGCGGTAACTTGAATACCGTACAAGATAGTGTCGCGGATTCGGCAAATGTCCTACAAGAATTCTACAACGAAATGAATAATAGTTATAGTAAATTTAATGAGGGCTTGGAAATATTTAATAAGTTCAATAACATATTAATGACTAATTCTGAATATGTTTTGGATACACAACGTAAAGTTGAATTTGGTACGATTCAGATTGTGCAAAAGATCGGCGATTTCTTGGAAAAGCATCGTAACGAAATTATTGCATTAATGGAAAAACGTTTCGATAATGTTGATGAGACAATGATTAATAATCAAATAGAAGCGATGCAAAATTTTAGTTCACTTATCGAATCCGAAATCACACAAGTTTGGCATCAAATCTCTATAATGCATGAAGAATTGATGGCGACAAGAGATCTCTTGAAAACGGTCGATGCCCGCAATGAAGCATCTGTAAATAGCACATACGACAGCGTCAATGCAATGGGTATCAAGGTTGAGGACATCAAAGGTCGCATGCTGGATATGGAATCAAATTTGAATTATTTATTAGGCAAATTATCGCTTATTTCTCAAGAATTTAACAATATTAAAACTGGCTTAGGTGAATCCTTGGACGAGCTACACAATATTTTCCGTTCAGTAGAGAACAAAATACCCCGAAAAGATCCGCAAGATATAAATTATGAAACAGAATTGAATCTGTTACCGAAACGTCACATAATTCCATGAAGATAGGGAATGAGACTTTGCGGACCCATAATAATAATAATAATAATAATAATAATAATAAGTCAGTCAATACAGTTATTAACTTTCTTTATTTTTATTATTTTTTTATTTTATTTTCAATTTTATAAGCGTCTTGTAAGCGTGTAAATGTATAAGTGCCAGGCTTGAACAAATTTGTATTTATAATTTATGTAACAAATTTTTTTAACCATCGTAGATTCTTAAGTTGAATTTTTGTATTGAGAATAAACGAATTAAAATTAATTTCAAAAATTATTTCAAAGTCTTGCTGAGACTGATCATTTTTATTGAAATCAATTGAGATAGCGCAACAGTTCGCGATGACACAACATTCCCTATTTCATTGGAATTGCTCCAGGAGACTCCAAGGGATCTCGCTTTGCTCTAATTATAAGGCGATTATCGGAAGCAGGAATCACTTAACGTCTCTCAATACCTCTTTTGCGCTTTAAGGCATTCGTGATGAAATTTTATGGCCGCCCGAGTGATATGAGAATAAATTTGTATATTTTTCCCTAATTTCAAAACTGATGACCATATGTCTCTAAATAAAAAACAATAAGGATTCAGGTACTGCAGCGCAAAACCGTATTGGTGTTATTGTATATTTGTTTAGATAGAACAAAATAAATAGTTAACATTCATACAGGTATTTTTATGCCTAATCTGTATACCGTTTATTGATTCTACAGGTGTTTTTATTTCTAATCTGTATACCACCCATTGATTCTACAGGTGTATTTATTTCTAATCTGTATGCCACCCATTGCAATCTGTATACCATCCATTGATTCTACAGGTATTTTTATGTCTAATCTGTATACCACTTATTGATTCTACAGGTGTTTTTATTTCTAATCTGTATACCACCCATTGATTCTACAGGTGTTTTTATTTCTAATCTGTATACCACCCATTG